GCATTACGCATAGCGATTTCTTCTTCAGCTCCATGTAGTTCTGCATCCTCAACCTCGTCTTGGTCGGACATCTCGATATCCTCGTCATGATGTCCGTTGACCATGGCGGTCTTTTTGACCTCATCTCTCTGAGTCTGTTCGGAGTGGAGAAACAGCAAAGGGTTTGGCGCCTTTTTCCCAAGGACATACATGGCTTCCTTTTGCTTCCTTGCTAGCGGCTGTCTGAAGATCTTGACGCTCCTATCTTTTCTATAGGAGATGTTGGCACCACCGCAGTTGGCGCATTTCTTCAGATTGGGGACCTCCTTGAGGAAAGAGGCGATTACATGCTTTCGGGCAGCGATAGCGATAGTGTTTCGGACGAGAGCCTGGTCATCGATCCGTTTCTCTCTTCGCGCTAATTTGATGGCACGCGTTGTCATTCTCGTTCTCCGGTCAATAAGCTCCGCAATCTCTTCCTCCGGTTCGATTTCCGCCACATCTTCAACCATCTGGTCTGGGCCAGTCTTCCTCGGTGTCCTTGGCAGTCCTCCTCTGAGGTGAATATTCTGTATATTGTGGTACTCCTCCACCAATCCATATTGCAACAGCCGGAGGGAGCACACCGTTTGATTGACAAAGTTCTCTGCAGCTTTGAAGCGATGACAGTAGGCACATTTCGCACGGAGAAGGCGTAGAGTAGAGTCAATGTACTGTGGATGATAGCAAGTGACAGGAAGTTCAATATGTCCGCAGTGCCCGGTACAGTGGATCGCATTCATGCGACAAGTAGAGCAGCTGAAGGTGTTAGCACCGAAGCTAGCGCAGCGTTCGAGGACTTACTTTGCATCCAGAGCCTGGATAGCACCCAGGGCAGGGTCATGCAGACCTCCTGGAACTGGACCAAACATAGAATCCAGCGCTGGAGTGACATGGATTCGCTTAACGGAGATCTTTCTGATCTCGTCGGACTGGAGTCGGGAAAAGGCCAGGCCGCCGGTGGCCGAAGGAATTGGTTTGACGTATCCTGCCATTACGCATCAAAGCCATAACCCGGCGGTAACAACGTACCTGGCGAGAGGAATGTCGGTGGTAGGTGTGCACACCTCTTATCCTTCAACTGCGCCAATATTTCCTGCTGCGGGGATAATTTTTTTTCTACAAAATATTGGGGTTCGCGCTACGTCGGAGTAGACGGCTGGATACGCTGTAGTACTGTGGAGTATTTGATGCTTTCGCGCGGTTCTCGATTGTCTCCACCTTACCTCCCCAAAAGGGAAATTAGTGTCGAATACGAATACGCATTGGGTCTTGGTTCGAGAATTCTTGCTGCCTGAGTCCCTACAATGTTATAAGCTAGACAGTGATCAAAGACTCTCCTTTGCTCAAATTCAATGAGCACTAACAGTTGCATCTCTTTTCAAGCACGGACTATACCCATGCTGTCGCGTTGGCACAACATGTTCAAGGTCGGGCTTCCCTGGAAGGCTGCCCCAACAAGCCGTGTTGTCCACATTGCTCAAGTTATTCTACAATTCACATTTGCTGTAACTGCCATTGCTCTCAATGCTTCAGACATAGCCAATGGCCCCACAAATACAGGCGTTTCGGTGGGTTTCCCGGGGATGAACCTTTGATACCTGATATTCCTCTGACACACCTGTACCTGCAGGTCTACGCCATCGCCATCGCCTCTTTATCTGCACTGACAGCGTTGTTGTTCACGATCGACATCCTCTTCCCATTTCCCAGTCGGCTCTGGCTGCTCTGGGTTCTGTTCTGGCAATGGGTCCTCACTTTTGCCTGGGTGGGGGTGATTGCATCGTTTGGCGGCAGGTATTTTGAGAGCCAATCCACCCATATTGAAGCCGCCGCTGCGTTTAACATTATCAATATGCTGCTATGGCTTACGGGCTCTGTCTTCGGCACGATTACAATGTGCTTTAGAAGGAAGCTGGGTGGCAAAAACCCAGACGAGGCGGAGTCGTCCCATGATCTCTCTGAGCGTAATTGCTGAGTCGGACCACTACGCCTTGTGGCCGACAATCCAGGGGGTGGTTATTTGGGATGTAATCGATGTTGAACTCAAATTAAGCCTGGCGGAGAGTATACACGACCTACTCTGGGCTTTTTCCGAGTGAATTGAAGCTTTCCGAGCAAGACATCTTCGGAGAATCGACAAATCGTAACATGTCTTCTCCTCCCTTCGGTAATAAAAGGATATTCGCGGTATTGAGGCAATGGCTTTCCGAGACATAACTATGTTGTATGGTCCGAAGGCAGTGAAGAAAGCGTCGACCATACAGTGGACGCTCGTCATGCAGTCCGGGCCCGACATGAACCACAGCGACGTCCGCCACCACCGCGTAGAACATCGCGAGGACGCTGGAGATCCTAGACGAATGAATTCCAAAGGTTCAGCGCTTACAATACAAAGGATGGAAATTCGACTTAAAAGCCCCAGGAGAGAATTGATCTAAACGGCAAAGTCCCTATCACCTGGCCCCCATTTCACCCGAAGGCACTACGGAGGCGTTCACCAAGAGCCATGATTGCGGGGCAGAACCATCGGGACGAAGTTCCTTACACCCTTCAGTCAGAAGCCCAAAGAATCTACGAGGTCATTGTCGCAGACCCTCGTCTTGACCTCCCAGAGGAAGTGAAACGATGGAAAGACAACGTCCAATTTACTGGGGATGAAACGGATCCTTTCTTCCCTGTTCCGTTCAAAGCAGCAGAATCCCAAGCTGGTCTCCTTGGCTACATTGGACTTTTGGCTCTTGCCATCGCTCAAGATCGATATGGAATTGAGCAAGAGTGTCACATCGATGTTTCGCAGGCCTTGCTCAATGGACTCGGCGCTCTGTTCGTCCGCCATGAGAGCGAATGGTTATCTGGGAGTCCGAAAATGATGGCCGCTGTCCAGCGCTGGGATCACGGTATGACCCGAGAGCTTTATCGACAGCTGGGCACAAACATCTACAAGTCGAAAGATGGACGATGGTACTCTCTCCACGGCAACATGAATCCCACGCCACTCTTGGAGATGCTGAACGTTCCACAGCACAATGAGAAGAACTTGACCTGGCCACAAATCATCGAAATGTACAGCAACGTCGTGGGGACTATTGACTCGGAGGTTCTCGACAACTGGAGTAACAACGTCTATCGAACTCCCGGCACAGTATGTCTCGAAAAGGAAGAGTTCGAATCCACCCCTCAGGTAATGCTGCTCGAACAAAAGCTCTCACGATCTACCTTGCTGACCGCTCACAGGGTAAAGCAATAAAAGATGAACCATACTACAACTTGATCCCCCAAAAGCATTATACTCAACCTGCCGTGTCCTGGGACCAAGTGCCTGTCGACCTCTCCGACCGTAGACCGCTGTCTGGAATCAAAGTCCTGGACCTTTCACGCGCCATTGCCGCGCCCACCATTGGCCGCGTCTGCGCAGCTTTGGGGGCGACAGTTATCCGCGTGTCCTGCGTAAAGAACACCGAGCTGCCCATCACGCTCATTGACGGTTGTATCGGCAAGACCAGTGTCGACATCGACCTCAAAACCTTCGAGGGGAGAAAGAAGCTGCTCGAGCTAATCGAGGAGGCCGATGTTTTCATTGACGGCTATCGTCCTGCCGTAATGGAACACCTCGGCTTTGGCCGCGACGCCGTGCTGGGTTTGGTGGCGAATCGAAATCGAGGCCTTATTTATTGCCAGGAAAATTGTTATGGCTGGAAAGGCCCGTGGGTCACAAGACCAGGCTGGGCACAGATTGCTGATACTGTTTGTCAGAATGCTTCCTTGATTGTTTCCTCCTTGCTAACCCCGACGTCCAGGTTTGCGGTGTTGGTCTTGACATTGGCCGATTCCACGGATACGACGAGCCACACATCTTCCCCGGCCCAAACGCCGACTACCTGACAGGCCATGCTGGCGCCGCTGGGGTCCTACACGGTCTTTATCTGCGCAGTCGCCAAGGGGGATCGTACGTGGTGCAATGCTCGCTCGTCGTCGCGAACATGCAAATGCAGTCTTACGGCAAGTACACGGAAGAACAGCAGACGGCGCTGAAAGCTCGCAATAAAGACTTGATTGGCAAAATTCGTCACTACGACGAGATCGTCAGCCACGGGAAGAATCAAAACGTAATCAGGGGTTTCATCGCCGATAGGACATTCGACAAGGCCATCAAAAAGGACTACTACCAGAAAGTAGATGGCAGCATGTGGGGGCTGGGTGACTTGGATCTGGTGAAGTTAGCATTGGAGTTCCAGCCCTCCCAAGGTACTGGGGGCTCTGAAGCAATGAGGACTGACTGGCTTGTTGGGCCTTGTCCGCCGGGGTATCATCTGGCACAATGGGAGAGGAAGGAAAACAAGGACTTTGAGCCAATCCAGCCAACGGCAGATGGTCTGAAGGAGGAGAAGAGTGTTTAATAACACCCGGGGAAGAAACAACATTGAGCGAGCGTGATCCAGGCTCGGACCCGATCATGTCGTGACGTATGCCGGGCATTGGGACTCTTAGGTATATTGCTCAGGCCAGTAACTTGCTGGCTGAAGTACGAGTAGAGACCTGTACTGCGACGAGTCCAGACAGTGCTGCAGGATCAGGAATAGACCTTTCGGCATCCTGCTGAGAATATTCACCACAATCGTATTCGGGGGAAATATACGCAGAGACCATCTGTCAACCGGTGATGCCAGCCCGGAACTCTTTTGTCACCCTCTACACTCACAAGGCTGTCGGATCGGACAATAACCACAACTTGCTCCGAGGGCAACAAATCGCATCTGGCCGACTTGGTAGCAAACCCCTTACCAAATGTGCTCTTGTTAGGAGTATGAAAGACAAAGGCTAGGTCTTCCTCCTTTCCCACCTCCAGACTGCCTCAAAAGATCTCATTCAATCGGGCCACACAGTCGACATGTCAAATTGTTGTCAAGTAGGCAAGGCTGCCCCAGGTGCGTATCTCCCACCGTATACCAGGGGCCCAGGGGCTTAATGCCTCACTCCCCATGGCCGTGTCTATTGGTTGTAACATGTCACGGTGATTGACACTCATTTATTTACAGACTCCTACGTCCCTCTCGGACAATATGCCGCCTTGGGCGTCGTCGACTGCTACGTAAGTGGCAACGAGCCGGACTCACCAGGCACCCAAGGACTACTGCTGCTATTGCCCGATGGATTCGGCCTGGCCAAGCACAATCTCATCCTGGCAGATAACTTTGCCAAAGAAGGATGGCGTGTGGTGATTCCAGACTATTTCGAAGGTGAGCCCATCAATCCCCCCAGCTTCACTCATCATGGCTCTCATGCACGGCCAGGCGACCCGTTGCCGATCCAGTTTCTCAAGCAAGATCGCTCCTTGTCAATCGATGAGCAGCCGTGGCCTGAAGAAGAAAAGCAGATCCTGCGCGACCTGGACTTCCCAGCCTGGCTGCAACGACATGACCATGCAAGGGTCTCTGCTCTTCTCGGCAACTTGACCAGCCATCTCAGAGACAAGTACCCTGACTCTACTATTGTCGGGGTAGGGTACTGTTTTGGGGGTAAACACGTATTGAGACTGAGCAAGAATGTATTACGTGCAGCAGCTTCCTTCCATCCCAGCTTCGTGGAGGCCGAGGACCTGGACGGCATTCAGGCGCCTCTCTACATCGGCCTGGCGGAGGAGGACGACATGGTCCCTGCCTCATTGCCTAATGACCTCCACGAGTGGGGAAGCATAAGGATAAGACCCGGAGTGCCGTTCAAGATCGAAAGCTATCCGCGGATGGGCCATGGATTCGCCGCTCGACCGGATACTGAGGACAAGGATATTCGGGAACAGTATCAAAAGGCGTTTGTTCGAACACTTGAGCATTTTAGGGAGTTTGTCTCGGACAAAAAGGTAGAATAGGACGAGAGACAATATATTCTGATATCCTTTGATGACACCACCGATCCGATTACAAAAAAATAATCTTCACACCTTTGAACTACAGGAGCTATAGGCAGCGAGCTTCAGAGTTATCATTGCATACTTGTGTACTAAGTCTCTAGATACCATTTTGCCACAGCATTGCAGAGCTACGTCCTCTCAATCTGCACCTTGCTCACCGGCTTCTCAATGACCTCCCACTGGTCCCAACGAATCTTGCTCAACATGCGCCGGAATTGCCACCACGTCCAGGGCATGGTGAAGGTATTCCACCCGTCATCGTTCTTGTAGTACGTGACACAGTCCGGACGGGCCCAGACAAACGTCCCCGTCTGCCTGCGCTGGACCTCGAGGTTGTATTCGTGCTCAAAATCTCGCCGTGGATGGATCGCCAGCTTGACGCCTCTCTTCTGCCTCAGGACCGCCTCCTTGACGACCTTGGCCGCGAACCGCGCTTGTCGCTCCCAGTTGTCCTGCTGCGAGGACCAGACGTGGGCCGAGTTCGGACCAAAGCAGTAGAACATGTTGGGGAATTGGCTGGTGGCCAGGCCGTAGAGAGCTTCGGGATGTTCTTTCCACTTGACCTGGAGATCTAGCCCGTTCAGGCCCGTCACCTTTTCGTGCTCGAGGAATTGGGCGACATTGAAGCCGGTGCCGAAGATGATGATGTCGTACTCCCGCTCCGTCTCCTTGCCGGTCGACTTGTCCCTGGACAACACACCCTTTTCGGTGTACCGGACAAGATCTTCTCTCAACACCGTGCAGTTCTTTTTGGCCAGAGAGGAATAAAACTTGTCGAGGTGGAGCGGTCGTTTACAGAAAACTGTTCAAAAGATTTAGTACCTACTGAGCACGATCGGAGACGGCACAGGGGTTCGAATATCACTTACACTTTGAATGAGGCCGGACTTTCTCCCGCAGTTCTGGGTCCGAAATCTGTGACTCCATGTACCTGATGGCTTCCTCGGTCATCTTGTCATTCATGGGGTCGCCGTCTGTGGCCATCGGGCGACATTCTCGCATCATCTCCAGGTTCATGTAGGTCCTGACCACCCACGCAAACAGGGGTATCCATTTCAGGGCCCACCGGAAGAGACTATTGAGCACTTAGCACTTGTTCATGATGCGGGTAACTAGGGAAGAACATACCGTGAGTACGCAAAATCACCTCTTGCAACACAGACCGGCGGGGTCCGCATGTAAACAGTCAGATGCTCAGGCTTGTCGATGATCTCGGGCAGAAGCTGTGCCGCGCTCGGCCCACAGCCAATGATGGCCACCTTCTTACCAGTGAGGTCGACGTCGTGCCTCCAGTGGGCTGTGTGCCAGGAGATGCCCTTGAAGTTCTCTCTGCCAGGAGTGTTGCCCCATTTCGGTCGATCAAGACTTCCAATGCATTGACAGACAAAGTCGGCGATCCAATGCTCAGTCTGGCCAGTCCGTTTGTTCGACACGGCCACATGCCACACCATCAAGTCCTCGTCCCACGCGCAGGATCTGACAAAGCTCTGGAACTGGGTGCACTTGTCAAGACCATATTGGAGGGCAAAGTTGGTATAATACTCCTCGATCTGTGCTCTTTCCGCGTAGAAGTGAGTGTAATCTTCCACACCGTTAGCATTCCCGACCCAGATTGATTAGTGAGAGAAGGCTAACTGACTTTTATTGATGTGATAAGAAGTCGTGTAGATCATTGCGGGGACGTCGCATGCACAGCCAGGGTACTTGTTCTTCTGCCAGACGCCGCCGTAGGCGTCGAGTGCATCCAGGATCTGGATGTCGCCATGTTTGACGTAGCCATCCTTCAGGAGGACGGTCGCTTGCTGGATTCCGTTGATGCCTGCCCCGACAATGATGACTTTCTTGCGACGGTTCAAGGGAACAGAACTCGCAGGGCCAAAGATTGCCTCGCCCTGCCCATCCTTCCCGAACCCGGTGAATTCGCCATACTCGTCACCTCCAACTGTGCCTTTGTCGAAAGTCTTGACGAGCTGTGGTGTCAGGTTTGGTGGCGTCTCACCAGACCCGATTTTGGAGTCCACCCCGATCATGATAGAAGCCGTGCTTCAGAGAGTAACAGATTCTGGACTTTTGCTGAGTGGTAACCCTCGTGTTCGATCTTGTTAACTGGAAACAGCCGCCCAATATTGGAATTTGTCGAGACCTTGAGTCTGGTCTATACCTCGCAGGTGGCGACAAGGTCAACTGCTCATGCTCGGTCCGACAGGTGTGCTTCGTGTGGCAATCGTTGCGGGAGACGTAGACCACCGGGACGAATACTTGCCACCACTGGTGGTACCGACTCGAGGAAATGATGAAGTGACCGGTTGCTTCTGAGTCTAGTACCAGACGGATACGGTCAAAGACGAGTCTAAAATACGGGTGTCCTTGTTTGAGCCCAGGCCTATAGAGAAGGGAAGCCGTGTGTGGTCAACTCCGGACCCGATGCCACTTTGTCTCCGAGGAAATATTTCACTCGAACTTGTGGTCTTTGATTTCGTATAGCGTACTATCGACTATGACCTCTCTCTCTGCCGGACTTCTTGTGTTGGGCATGCTGGGGTAAGAAATCCCACAACCCGTCCCCGTGGGCACGGGACACTCCGGGGCTCCCCCCTGACGGCGGACGTCCGAATAGATTGACGACTGCCAATCTACCACGTTCTCGACTTCTTGCGGAGACTTTGCGGAGGCCGGAACCATGTACCCCAGACCAGTATCTCGGGGGCCAGGAGCACTTCGGTGGAGGAGTGGAATACAAAATAACTCGGTGGCCTGTGACCCTCAGTCCACCGTCCCTCGAGTTCTTCAAATCACACAACGGTTGAGCATATTCGTGGTTGACTTTTGACAAGGATGAAGCGTCTTGCTCTGCACGAGATTGAACACAGTCATGGCACTGTCCAACTGATATCAGGTGATTGTCATCGCCGCGTCCGAGTCTTTCGGTGCTGACTTGTGGGTTTCAGGGGCCACAGCCTTGCAGCACAAGAAAGGGACATCGATTGTGCTCGTCCCTCAACCGAGCCAGAATGACCCCAATGACCCATTGGTAGATATAATACCCTCATTCTGGCCATTTTTAGACTTACCGACGCTTCTCAGAATTGGCCATTTACGAAACGTGTCACGGCCTTTTGGTCGGTGCTGTGGTTGTCCGGCCTGTGCAACTTCTGCATCACTGGACTGGCTCCAGGCTTTGGGCAAATCATCGCCGAATTCAACGTCACGCTGACACAAGTGACATGGTTGATCTCAGCTTGCCTCCTTGGGGAGTTCATGGGGTGCTACACGGTTGCTCCTTTCTCGACTCGCTATGGGAAACGCCCAATTTGGCTGCTCACCAGTGTCGTCTTCTTCGTGTGCAATATATGGGCATCCGTGGCAAAGTCATATCCTTCGCTGCTGCTGGCGAGATTCTTTGCGTCGTGGGCAGGTGAGTTTAGCAGATCCCCTTCTCCATGTCTCTAGGACTCGAGCTGACTGAGGACTTGCGTAGCTGGCACCAGCGAGCCGTTGAGCGTCGATACCCTCCATGATCTCTTCTATCTGCATGAGAGAGGCACACAAGCTGGAGTCCAGACCATCTGGCTCAGCTGGGGCAGCTCTCTAGCACCTGTCATCTGCGGGTATCTTATCCAAGCCAAGGGCTGGCGCTGGTTCCACTGGCTCACCAGCATCATGGCTGGGATCGACCTGATCTTGATCTTCCTCTTTGTCCCCGAAACACAATATCATCGAGATCTCCACAAGGCACTTGACTCGGTTGGCATTGAGGGGAACGAAGAGATGGAGCTAGACGCTCAGAAAGCATCTCCTTCCGGCCTGATGACCATGACCAAGAGTGAAGACGACACGACGACTGAGATGGTCGAGACGCAGAATCCGGCACCAGAGAAAAGGACCTTTCTCCAAGAGCTGAAACCCTGGTCTCCGGTGCAGAAGGATGTCAATGTTGTGGCTTCCTTCTTGCGGCCCTGGGCTACATGGTGTTATCCCAGTGTTGTATGGGGTGTCTTTTCATTCTCTATCCACGTTACGTGGTGAGTGCCCACCTCTCCCTGTAGACCTCGAGCAAGGTCCAATATACTGATCACCGAATGATCTCACAGTGTGGTGGTCTTGATAACCATGATTCCCGTCTATTTCGGAGCTCCACCGTACAACTTCTCCATCGGCCAGCAGGGTCTCGTCTATCTGAGCTCGTGTATCGGCAACGCCTTTGGCTCCATCTTCTGTGGCTTCTTGAACGACAAGCTGAGCCAGTGGTCCACGAGACGCAACCACGGCGTCTTTGAGCCTGAGATGCGTCTACCCGTGACCGTCTTCCCTGCACTCCTCGTGCCCGCCGGGCTCTTGATGTTCGGAGTCGGCATCGAGCACGGCACGCACTGGATCGTCCCCGTCATCGGCGTCGGCCTCGTGGGGGTGGCTTTGACGGGGATAGGATCGGTCATCCAACCGTATCTGATGGACAGCTACACGCCCGTTCTGTTTGACTGCCTCGTGGTAAGTGGTCCCCCGATTGCCAATCTATTCGAAGGGTAACGAGCTGACGAAGCAACTACAGACGTTCAATGGATTCAAGAACTTAGTCTCATTTGCCGTGGGATTTGCAGTTGTTCCCTGGCTCCAGGCAAATGGATTAGTTGCCGTCTTCTGTATCCTTGCTGCATTGGTCTTTGTCATAGATGCCTCCGTCGTGGTCATCTACATGTATGGGAAGAGGTTGCGCCAGAGAGATTCTCGGCTCAAGGTGTTCCACTTCTAGAGAAGAGCATGAATGGGGCTGGCTGTGTGCCAGGTACATAACAAAGCCCTTGGCCCGGGCATTTTGTTGGAAAATACATGTCAAATTACTCAATCCAACTGACCTGCAGTCGTACTTACAATGTAATGTCTCTTCTGTCTCAAATGCCTTTAAGAGATAGATGTATCTTCATGTAGGTCTTTCAGTGGTTGATAGGTCGTGCTTGAAAGCTGATGTCTGGTCAACCGCGTCATAATATCAATGAGTTGCTATTCGTACTATCTTTGGAGCGGCGACTGCTATCACAACTGACTCGACTCTAATTCACTCCCTTTCCAGAGAGTGAGAAACCCGCAGAAATGGATGTGATGCTTGGTGCGAATCTCTATCTATCATGTGCTTCAACAAGATATAATGTCTGTTGTAGATCCCTCACTGGAACGTTCTAAGCCCCCAAACAGCAACTTTTAAAGATGGAGATTTGCGCAATATAGTTGTTACTCGTATTTGTACTTTGTACTTTGTACTTCTTAGTTGTGCCTAAGGCATCAAGAAACCCCCATTTACCGGAAGGCAAGCCCCGGTGATCCAGCCGCTCCGTTCCTCGCAGAGAAAAGCAATCGCATAGGCTATCTCCGACGGCTCGGCCATGCGTGGTCCCATGGGCGTCGCGTCGAGGAGAGGTTGAATGTTCCGCAGAAAGTCTGGGCCAGATTGCGTGAAGCCAGCCGTGTTTGTGGGCCCAGGTTCGACGGCGTTGACGGTACATCGATACTTTGGGCCCAATTCTCTACAATGTAATATTCTTAGTCGCGGTGTTACGGGATAACTTCTTCGTGGGCTGTGGAAGATGAAAGCAAGCGTGCGAGGAACTTACAAGGCCCAGCATCTCGTAAACGATTCAATCATGGCTTTCGTCCCACCGTATACCGTAGAGCCTCGAAATCCCTGACGCGCACCAACACTGCTCAGGTTGACGATCCGGCTATTGTGTGCGAGATGAGGTAACACGGCTTGAGTGAGCAGAAGCATTCCTCTGACGTTGAGGTCGACTTGTGTGTCCCATTGATCCACGGTAACATCTTCGAGCGGGCGCATGATTGCTATCCCTGCATTATTCACCAGGATGTCGATTGGTCGCCCAACCAAGCGAACTGTTTCGTCGACGAGCCGCTGGGGTCCATCCAGCGTCGACATGTCCGCCTCAATGGCTCGACATCGATCAGCGACTGTGGCGCCACTCGATTTGATATCTTCCAGGACTTTGTCTGCGTCAGCTTTCTGAGACGGCCAGGGATAATTGACGATGATGAGAGCCCCCCTATAGGCACCGTGTATAGAGAGAGGATTCAATTAGTTGGCCTGAAACGACACCTAGGTTGGTTTACTGCTTACCTCGCTGCTAACTCGAGGCAAGTAGCTGCCCCAATCCCTTTGGCACTGCCACTTACAATAGCAACCTTGCCTTTCATTGACTGTTCACCCGTCATTTCGAGAAACTGGGATGAAAGCCGTTCTGAGGTACAGAGGATACTCTCTTAGAGAATACCTATCGTTGCACCCGCACGACCCAACATGCCATGTTGGTGGCGACCGAGCAACCGTGTACCCTGTTGTTCTGGGTTCTTCCGTCGTGACAAACCCGGCCAACACGGTGTCAAGCATACTCCGTAACTACCTCGTCCTCATCGTAGAGTATTCATGCTTGGCCCCTGGGTGGCCCCCATCTTTACCGAACGAAGTGACTAAGTCGCACTCTTAGTCTCCGGAGTTCGGGTAGACCACATTCAACCCCGTAGCGCGAGACTAAAGTGAAGATAGTGGATGATGATAGGCATGGCAAGGCCCTTCTCCAGCCTGGCCAAGCAGGCCACGGCAATCTGGCGACCCCAAGGTTGGGAACACGAGGCAGAAGGGAAGTAACGAGCTCCTCAATGATGAGTTTTCTCTCCCTTCAATCGGCCTGGTTCCCCTGGGGTCTCCGTATTCGTTTATTCGTTTATTTCGTGGGGTAAAATTTCGAAGTGCTTGGCGAGGCTGCATCGTGTGTGGCTATGCAAATATAGAAGGAGCGACCCCGCAACATCCCGTAATGTTCTGGTAAGCACGAGCATCACAGGTGGTGCAGGTGCGGAAGAGGTTGACAAACGCTCTGGTTCCTCTTTGATCCATGGTTCCACTAAGATTCAGGTCTTGTCATCCTCTTACTGAAGCTCCCATCCTCCTCAATTCAACCTACCGCAAAAATGCATTTCACCCAGGATGCCACCTGGAGGGATGCGAGGTATCATTGCGCCATCTGTTCGCGCCCTTTCGACCGTAAAGATACATTGGCAAGGCACATGCGTGTCCATGACAAGCATCGCCCAGCGCCCAAGACGAGAAGAAAAGCCTGTCTGTCTTGCTCTCAGTCCAAGACTCGATGCAACGGCGAACGACCATCGTGTGCGTCGTGCGCGCGTCGAAGCTTAACCTGCGTCTACGGCGACTTGGGTCAGAATCAGGAGAAACCAAGCGCTTCGCGGCCAAGAGATGAGAGTAATGCGACATACGACCAGCAGTCTGATATCTCTCGTGATTTGGGAGATGCCTCAGGGAACGACTTGCTCTCACCATTGAGCGGACACCACGCCATCGAACGTGGCACGGATGAAGTTTCCATGGTCAATCTTGACAGTCACAACGGGACTCGGTATCGCAGTGCCGAGTCCAGCATCGGTCCCACTGGCCCGTCTCAAAGCGTGTATGCCACATTCGATGACATGGACTTCACTTCTAACCTTGACTGGATCCTCAAGGACGCGAACGGTGAAGAGTTACTCGGTCCAACAGATTTCTTCGGCTTCCCGGAGTGTTCTGATGGCCAGCTCTCTCAAATTCTATCACTATCAGCCGCGCCAACTGCGATGGTATCAGCGAGGCACTCTGACGTGGGAGATCAGAATGATAACGAGAACGTGAATGAACATGACTCTGACACCTCTACTGCTTTAGGTGGTCTCCTGACTCCTCAGCCTCAGGAGATGGGAGACTCTGGAGACCCGTGGCCGCTCGACACTCCCCGGCCAACGCAAAGTCACATGGCACTGCCAGCGCTGGGTAGCGACGGCCAGGATTTTCACGCCTATGCCAGATTCTTCTCGGTGATGCCTGTCAGCGATCGCACGTGGCACGCACTTCGGAAATGCCTCCTCCTCCCCTTTGAGCACAACTCAATACAGTCATTGAACTTGGATCACTTCCCCTGCAGGGAGAAGCTGGACCACTGCATCGACTTATACTTTGCTTACTTTCACCCAACGCTTGACTTGATTCACCAACCGACCTTTGACCCTGGCCGAGACCTGGTGCTGACCTTGGCCATGATCAGTATTGGGGCCTGTTACTCAGACCTCCCCGGAGCCAAGCCATTCTCCATCGTCCTGTCCGAGTTAGTTCGACGGCTGCTCATCTTCATGGCTGAACAAGACCGCCGCTTCGTCCGGACGGGGCCATATCTCACCGCCCAACTCCTGCAGGGCACTCACGGGTACTGCACGGGTAGTGAGCGCCTGTTTGAGCTGAGCGAGTCCGGTCGCAGCACATTGCTACATCAAGCGAGATGTATGGGTCTGTTCCGCTTCGAGGCATCGTCATTGACCCAGACGGACCTGAGCCTGGAAGACATGTGGCGTCACTGGATCGAAACCGAGAAGCTGCGTCGTCTGGGATGGGTACTATACATGTACGATGCCTCGGTCGCCTATTTGCTGAACAACAGACCCTTCCTGAGTATTGGGGACATTAAGCTCAACCTTCCTGCCTCAGCAGAGGAGTGGGCAGCAGAGACGGCCCAGGCTTGGGCAGCTCTTCATCCGTCAAGAACGTATCCCGCGAATCCACCTTTGGGGCCGACGATCAGAACGCTTTTTGACGGGACACCTAATGCTGTGGAGAACATCACCGACGAAGGACACCGATTTATCGTTGTTCTGACTCTTGTGAGGATGCTGTGGTCGCTGAAAGAGAACCGGTCATCACCTCTCAACGACCTTATCATGCCCGCGCCTTTCGACGACGGTCGAACAGATCTTCTGCGGGCTTTAGACGTCATGTCCGTTTCGATTGTGGCCTTGTCCAAGACCCATACCAAAACAGAGATATTTCGTCTCGTCCATCGCATGCGGTTGATCCATGTGGCTCACATCTACGGCGCGGGCGATTTGATGAACTGGCTGTACCCATATCTCCGCCATGGACCCGAGGCTGAGAATGCCGCAGTGCGGATGAGGCGCTGGGGTAGCGAAGATCCCCAGAGGTTGCGAGAAGTGGCATATCACAGCGCACAGGTCCTGGGCCTGATCAGGAACTTCCCCAACTCGATGCCTTTGGAGCCTTATCTGATTTTCCACGCCGGCGTCGTCCTCTCGTGCGTCGCTCCTCTGCTGCCTCCGAGTCCCTGTTCGACCCAAAATCCGCCACTTCAGCTCGACCAGCTCGACCCGGGGGACAACAGCGTTTCCAAGAGGCATTTCTACTGGATCAAAAACGGTGGCAACCTATGCATCAGCGTCTTTGGCGTGCGCTCGCTTTGCTGCCCAGCCGGTCGCCAAGCAGTTCTCGACCAGACGGCCGCGTTGCTGAAACGGCAGAAGGTCTGGGGCATCGCACATAATCTAGAAAAAGTGATTCTCTCACTACGAAGTCGAGAACAAGATGCAGTATCATGAGGCGACGTCGAGCCGAGACAAGTTATTCTGCTTGTGCTTTATTCCAGGGACCTCCGTAGGACGAAATGGAATCAAATCGACGCGTGCCTGATTTCTCGGAGGCTATGCTGTATTCAAAAAGCTACAGTGGTTACCCTCTCATCATCCCATGCGACCACTTGACCATTGAGGTCCTTGGGAATCCCACTGACTGCCAACCTCGCGAACGAACTCGCAGGGGCCTCTGGGCGGAGCAACTCCCCATTGGCATGAAGCGACGTTAACCAATTATACTGCTCCGCCGGCATATGGGTTTTGTCTAGACAAACGTATGTTTGAGCGAGCGCGCAACACTGGCCATGGGGGCCGGATCATCTCATCGCTACAGGAAAACTTACGTTCTTGTCGCACCTCTGCCTGCATCCCCGAATCGACAATACCTGGAGTCATGCACAGGAATTTCACTTGTTCCTCTTCCTTTGCCAGCCCGGCGCAAAGAGAGTTCATGGCTGCTTTTGAGCAGGCGTAGGCCGCCCAGGCGTGATACGGCTGGAGCGAGACACCCGACGAGGTCATGAGCAGATGGCCGTTGGTCTGGCGCAGATACGGCAACGAGAGTTGGATCTGGAAACAGCGTCAGTCACCTTCGCATGACTGCTGGCTGGCTGACTATTTACTCACTGCATGGACCAACCCGAAGAAATTCACATCAAACAGTCTCTTCCACTCCTCGACTGCTGTGTCTGCGATGGGCCCAACAGGACGCAAGATTGCCGCGTTCAAAATGACCGCATCGATCTTTTCTCCTTGGCGAACTGCGGTGTCAATGGCCGATACATTTGTAGATCGACTGGACACATCTCCTTGCACCACTGCAAGACGGTCTGGATGCGATACTGCTAGTGTTTCGAGCTCTGATGTCTTAACGTCCACCCCAACGACGAGGGAGACCGTTGCCTGTGCCAGCAGAATCTTCGTTATGGCGAGACCGATCCCAGCTCCTGCGCCAGTAACGATGCTAGATTACTGTGTGAGATACGGAGTGTGATGGAAAGAGAGGTTTTGGAGAGATGTGGACTGGATTACATTACTTTGCCTCTGATGTTGTTCGAGCCCATGGTATTGGTTGGTATATGTAAGAGAGTAACAGAGATTTGAGTGTTTGGACCAACTCAGAACTGGGAATTTGAATTTTATTCCGCACTTCATATATCTCTCAGGACGTGTGGTCTCGCCCACGTACCCAACGATTGACACTCCAGGCGATTCCACCGAGTAAAGTCTGCTTGCCTTACAACGCCAATTTCCATCAACATGGCTGGTTCGAGCTTGAAGTTGAAGCGACAGTTCGATCATCTCCACGAAATCACCACCGCAACCACCGCAACCTCCGCGACTCCAAGCCACTAGATGATGGCAGGGAGCGCCACCTCGCACTATGCGGCGATACCAGAAAACTATGCTCCCTAGGTACGTAGCTCCAGCTGGTCGAGACTCGATTCGGGGGCAACTCGTCAACAGGCATCATGGCTATTCGCGGCACGGAGCAGTTTACGTATATGTCTAATCGCATGTAGCCACTAGCCTCACCACTACGGTGAACACGAACGAACCATCCGGACTTCGGAGTGGATCTGCAACAAACCATCCCCGGAAATGGGAAGAGGAAGCTTGGGTAGTGACTTGCGGGAGAGGATGCGCCATACACCATGCTCCAGAAACCAGAACGCGGGGAGACCGCAAAGGAGGTGGCAAGGGGGACGGCAGATGGCAAGGAGAATGGGACATCCCAGAGCCAATCGGTCTAGTTTGAGACATGCTGGACTCTGGACTCTATACTCCGATCCGAACTCGGATGTAACAATAGGTGGCACTCGTGATAAGAAGAGATCCTGCTTGCATTAGAGCAGACAGCCTGTCAGTGGCTGGGCAGAGCAAGACCTTTGGCACACAGACACACAGACACACACACGCACACACGATGGCTTCGACTGACAAGCTCCTTGAGAGAGAGATTGCTGCTGCTGCAATGGGCGTCTTCCACCGCTATGATGGCGGTATCCGGATTCAGATCTACATCCCCTCCCTGAGCAGACACATCCAGCCTCGCAATATCGTCTTGATCGCAGTCCTGCTCCTCGCCATCACCTGGATCGCACGCAGAATCTTCAGACGCGATCTCCGCTCGATCCCAGGCCCGTTTCTGGCCTCATTGTCGAATTTCTACCGACTGGCCATGGTCCTTCGAGGTCAAAGCCAATGGGAAACGATTGCCCTACACAAAAAGCACGGCCACTACCTACGACTGGGTCCCAACTTCGTGTCGGTCAGCGATCCAGAGGCCTTGCCCATCATCTACGGGATCGCGAAGGGCTTTCGCAAGTCCGACTTCTACACGGCGCTGGACCCGGTGTCGAACGGACGGCTGATGCAGAGCATGTTCGCGACGCAGAGCGACGAGTGGCACCGCATCCAAAGAAAACCCATCGCCCACGCATACGCCATGTCGACGTTGGTTTCGTACGAGCCGCTGGTCGACTCCACCACGGGGATCCTGATGGATGTGGTAGGCAAAAGATTCGCCGCCACGGGCCAAACGTGCAACCTGGCACAGTGGCTGCAGTGGTATGCCTTTGACGTGATGGGCGAGATCACCTTTTCGGAGAGATTTGGATTCCTGGAACAAGGACGCGATATTGGAGATATTTGCCTGGGCATACATCATCATTTCACATACGGGGCTCCAGTAAGTTGCTCTGAAGGATCACCCCTTTCTCATTCCCACAGAAGTCCTAAAGACCCGTGCAGGTCGGCCAGATCCCTTGGATAGACGTCTTCCTGAGACGGAATCCGCTGCGGCCGAAACGAGAAGTCTCAGACCCAATGGTGGCGTTCACGGCCGACGCAATTGGCAAGCGATTGCAGTCGTCAAACGACGTGGAACAATATCACGACTTTTTATCACGGTTCTTGAACGCAGATGTTGGCCCGGACAGTGACAAAGACGCCCATTTCCGGTAACGACCAAAGTCCATGACGATCAATCAGGGTGCTGACCGTGACCAGGAACGTGTTGAGCTGGTCCGTCAACAATGTCGGTGCGGGCTCGGACACCACGGGGATCAGTCTCACGGCTGTCTTTTATTACCTTCTCACAAATCCGCACAGTTTCCAAGTCCTCCTTGAGGAGATACGCTCGACGAGATTCGCCAGTCACAAGGCGGTGAGTTGGAAAGAGGCGCAGAGCATGCCGTACCTCCAAGCCTGTATCAAGGAGGCACTGCGGCTGCATCCCGCTGTCGGCATGCCTCTGGAGAGAGTGGTCCCCGAGGGAGGAGTGTCTCTTGGTGGATACTGGCTCAAGGGCGGAACAGTCGTTGGAGTCAATGCCTGGGTGGTGCACCGAAACAAGGATGTATTCGGACCGGACGCTGAGATTTGGAACCCCGAACGGTGGATCAAGGCTGATACAGAGCAACTGAAAGCAATGGAGAGGGCAAACCTCACGGTGAGTTAGCGGGATCGTCTTTACTCCCTTGACTCCCTCTCGATAGAATGGTCTAATGACTGACTCTCTGCACCATATCATCTCTAACAGTTTGGATCCGGCTCTCGCACATGTCTGGGCAAGAACATTTCCCTGCTCGAGATGTCCAAGCTCGTGCCCCAACTGTTGCGATCATACGAGGTACGTCCAAACAGAGCGTGTACTGGGCATCGAGGAAAAGAAAACAATGTCTAATACCACGCAGATGACCCTCGCGACGCCCGGAGAAGAATGGAAGACGCAGAACTTCTGGTTCGTCAAGCCAGACGCTCTGAATGTCAGGTTCAAAGCTATTCAACACGACTAGAAAATAAAGAGGAAGAGGAGAAATATGTTTGCATAGAGAAGCAAGGGAGATTGAGAGATAGTGTGTCGGCTGTCCTGCAGAGTCACTATCATCGACTTGGACATTTCTCGTGTGTAAGAGCTAGGCAGGCCACTGCTGGTATTGATGGAAGGCCTTATGGTCAGTTCGCTGGGAGTAGTAGTTGCGATAGAAGACTTCATGACACGAAGAGACGTAGTCTATTTGCGGCGCCTTAGGAGGAACCACTCGTGTTGTTCCGTTTAGATGCCTCCTTGTAAATCTCTCCGTCCCTTCACGACAGTTTCAGTCCATCTCAATACGTTTATCAGAGTAGAATGTGAGCCGCCCTTCACTATGCCTTCTTTTACATTTGTACACAAACCCTCCCTTCACTCAGCTTGTCACTGCTACGCTACAGGTACCCGCGAGAAGATATCTTGTTCCTGACTCCTCGATCCCACGTAGCTGAACAAACAGCAGACTCCCCGTCGCCTCCCATCACACTCCCGCAGCCACCTCTTTGTGTTCAGATCGTCTCTCCTTCTCATCCTCCAGCTGCCTGATCTTCGTCTGACCGACCTCTGCAATGTCATCCTGATGGTGCACGGTGATTTCGTGGGTGGTGTGGTCGATGTAGATGTCTTTGGCCTTGATGGCGACCTCGTCCGTCAAGCCGAACACGGTGGCCGTTTCTTCGAGGGGGATAGAGCTTGTCTCTGGGAGGAAGAAGTAAAGGAATACAACACCGCATGCCGTGGTGATGATGAACAACTGTTCAGAACGGTTAGTCCTCGACCTTGACAATGCTGTTGCCGAGGAGGTACTTACCAGGAAGAACTTCCACCCAACGTGTTGGAAGGCCGTAGGTGCCGTCGTCAAAAGGACAATGTTGGTCAAAGTACACGCACCAATGGCCAGGGCCACCCCTTTGGAGCGCAGGTGGTTGGGGAAGAGCTCGCTGGAGACGACGAAGAGACAGACGTCGACGCTGAAGCAGTAGCAGGACTCAAACAGGTATAGGGCCGCAACACCGACGGCGAGCCCGGCCTTGTTCGTCCCTTCCTGGGCAAAGCAGGCCACCATGGCAGCCTCGAGGGAGATCATGCACGCGCAGCCTGCCAGACCGCTGATCAGGATCAAACGACGTCCCAGTCCATCGACGAGCAGCGACCCAATGATGCTGAAGATGATTGCCGTCGTGATGTAGCCGCACTGGAATCTGACTTGGTCAAACGGACCATATCCTAGAGCGCCGTACAAGCTTGGACCCTGTCACAAACGATATCAGCACTGGACACACTCAAGTGGCCCGAGTCAAGGAGTCATACATAGTTATTGACGACAAGATTCCCCGACGTCTGTGCCAGGAAGCCAAGAATGAGCACCAACCCCCCTCGTCGCCGGTGTGTTTTATGTTTGAGAAATCCAATCCAGGAAGCATCCAGGGTGCAGTCGAGCTCAGCCTGTTGTTGCATCTGGAAAAACTCTGCCCGAGCGTCGTCTTCATGGCCCGGTGCCGCATGCTGCTTCAAGACAACGGCGAGGGCTTCTTCTGATCGGTCTTTCATCAACAGGTATCTTGGCGACTCTGGGATAATAAGCAACGCAGGGAGCAGGATGAGTGGCCAGGCAGCGCCGAGCGCGAGCGGAAGACGCCACTGGATGGTTTCTCCCAGATTGAAGAATGCAGCGCCGAAATACGCAGCTACCGCGTATCCAACTGCAACCCAAACGCCAGTGATGCCCACGGTCAGGCCGCGAGTCTTTGTCGGGGCCAGTTCAGCAACATAGACAGGCGCTGTTGCGAGGTGTCAGTATCAAGGTCGTGCTCATTGAACAGCAGGGGATGACACGTACTGATAGACATCTCCATGAAGGCCGCAGCACCCACGAAGAACCTCAGTGCTATAAACATACCAACGTTCTGCGAGGCTGCAGTGATGGCTTGGAATATGGCGCACAATGCCGCCACGATGATGGCGGTTCTCTTCCGTCCGAAACGATCAAGCAGCCAGCTGCCGATGAGCACGCCAACGAACCCGCCAGCCTGGTGATGGTTGAGTAAAGTGGCCTTGGGGCGAAGCTTGCCTACTTACCTGGAATATGCCTGTCGAAGCACCGATCAAGGCTTCAGAATTGTCAGTGGGATTACCATCCCTGTCGACCAACCCCATGTACACGACGAAGCCTGGGTCGGCCAAGGTGGTGCCAATGACCCCCGAGAGGTAGCCATTCACAAACATGCCAAAGCTCAAGGCCATACATGTCCAGAAGTTGAGCCAATTGAAGGGGACTTTGATGCCCTGTGAGTCCATGGTTGAGGACATTGTCTTGCACAGTGGTATAATGAAGCGGAGCTCTGTCGATTTACCAACCAATATGCCTTGCGACTTCAGCATCTTGAGTCTCGACTGTTCATATATACACCCTTTACAATATCACTCAAGATGAACACCTCGGATGACGGCCTCGAGAACGACCGTGGCATGGCCGGGCAGTACGAGGTCAGTACGCCAGGTGTGAAGCTATAGTTCATCGCTGGGATATCACCTTACCACACCAGGTTGGCTAAGTGTCTTTCTTGGCGGTCGAGAGTCAAGACAACTTTCCCGGGGATCTGGGGTCGTGGGGAACACGGTCCCAGCTCTCCAGACACGTGGAGTATTCCTGGGAGTTACGTACGTAAGGCAGAATGGTTTATGATGATTGGACACTCTGACAGTGATAGCATCCAAAAGGGGCTGTCGATGGTTGTTGATCCAGGCCTGCTGAGCACCGTGCTTTGCCGTGATCGAAGACTATCCAGACTACCATCCTAATGCGGCCAGCCACAAAACCCCTAAGGAACATCAGGCCAGAAAGATCAATGGCGACTTCGCCAGTCAAAGCAGTTCACGCTAGTCCACCAGATCTAAACGCGGAGGGAGGAAAAGCTTGACTCTTGCGGCCGTATTTGTCGGACTCGGACTGGCCACACACCACCCCGAACTCCGTATATAGAGATCCTAAATCTACCTCCAATATGTCACAGAAATTATTCGATCGCAGCTGTGCTAGAGCGATGCTAGATCCTGATGGCAATAGTGACGAGATAGTTAACTGGTATTCAGTAGCTCTGAAGCTGTAGAAGTCGATATGTCAATCCAATGCAATGCAATTTAATAGAAGTTATGCCTAGTCCATAGCCGTGCGTATACGGAATGACTGACTCCTGCGCATCTATCCCAAAAGCTTCTTCCTCCGTTCTTCCAGCAGATCCAAAACTCCTCGCACCGCGGGCCTGGCGACAAGCTTCTCCAGCCACGCGTTATACGCACTGTACTGGGACATTGGGATCTTCTTGTCCTTATCCAGCCAGGGCACGAGGACCGCCCAGGTCACAAAGCTCAGGTCGGCGTAGGTGCACTTGTCGCCGACGAGGAAGGCGTGCGTGCGCAGCCAGCCGTCCAGCACGGCGATGACCCGCTCGACCTCCCTGAGGTAGCGGTCCTGCGCGCTCGGCAGCGTCTCGTGGTGGTAGTGCGTGAACCAGGCGCACTGGCCGTAGTAGGGGCCCTGGCCCGACACCTGGAAGTGCAGCCACTGGGTGAGCAGGAACTTCTCGGGCGAAGAGTGATACGTGATTTTTCCAGAAGTGTCGTACGTCTCGACGAGGTACTGGATGATGGCGCCCGACTCCCAGAGCGTCAAACCGTCGCCATCGTTAGTATTCGGGTCCGTCAGCGCCGGTACCCGCCCGTTGGGGTTGAGGTCGGTAAAGGGCTTCTTCTTCACGTCCGTCACGTCCAGAAGCTCCGTCTCGTATGGTAATCCCAACTCCTCGAGGATGATGGCGACTTTGTAGGGACTTTTTTTTTCCCCCCCATTGCCTGTCAGCAAACAAAACGCCGGACAGATATTGTTGTTGTTCGATATGGGTGGGAAAGTCGACTTACTTCGGGCCACCGGCCGTGGAGTACAGTTTGAGCTTCTTCAATGGCGTCTGCATTGCTGTTATGGCGGTCTGCGGTCTTGGTGACAGTGACAGTAACAACCTCGGCGTGTTCTTGTCCTTTTGCCGTGAGTTTTGAGGCCGCTTCGGATTTATACTGGGGGGATCGTCGATGGCAGTGTCAGTCTCTCTCCATGCCATGCGGACATCATCAAACGCAAAGGGAGACACCGCACCGAGTGTGACCCTCTCTCCACTGACAACGAAACTGACAAATGTCCCAGTCTTCCAGGTGGTCCCTCTAAAGTCCTTTCGCACGTAACTCTTGATTCCACGGTTAGTTTGTTGGTAACGAAATCTCTGCACAGTGGGTGTCACACAGAAGAAGAAAAAAAGGTCGCATAAACAAGGCGGCACAAGTCGGCAAAGGCCCTTTCGCCGGTTTCGAGACACTAACGGTATTAGCCGGTGACCTACATGGGCCCCGGGTCTATGGAAAAGGAGTCGCAGTGAAGCCATGGAAATGTAAACGGTTATACTGCAAGTGACGTTGGCAAGTCTGTTCAGATATATATCAAATGAGCCCAGAAACACCCGTTAAAGGGGTTGCTAGAGTATCTCATTGTACAGTTTGCGCGAATAGTTGCCAAAATTCCGACTCCCAATGTCTACATTCCAGATCGACGAAAATCAATTGAAGGCGCTCAAGGGAAAAGTTGCCGTCTTGACAGGTATAAAGCCCCAGGCTAGGGCTTAGTCATTTACATTACCTGGAATTCTCACCGTTGACCATGTATAGGTTCTTCATCGGGAATTGGCCTGGAGACACTCAAGCTCTTTGTGGAGAACGGCGCGACGGTGGTGAATGCGGATCTCAAGCCGCCGACCGGCGAATATCCCAACACGACGTTCATCAAGACTGATGTTACCAAGTGGGAGGACCTCCGGAATCTGTTCCAGGAGACTGTTAAGAGGTTTGGCCGTGTGGATGTCACGTTTGCGAATGCTGGTGAGTTCAGCTCGATCCGAGCCTGACACCTGACGCAGGGACGCAGTGGGAAGGGCAAGGCAAGGCGAGGTGGACGAAAAGGCAGCTGACATGGTCACTGTATAGGAGTCGCCACAATCGCAGATTACTTCGACCTTCAAGTGGATGACCAGGGACAACCGAAGGAGCCATCTCGGCTGTGCTATGAAATCAATGTGATTGGGTTGATCAACACCGTCACTCTGGCCATATGGCACATGGCACGGCAAGAAACTGGCGGGAGCATCATCCTCACAGCCTCGGCGACAAGCAAGTGCCAACATTCCCTGATATCAAAACGGCTCGGCTACTAACAGTGAAATGACAGGTTACATGACCTTTGGAGCGACCGATTATAGTAAGTCCTTGCAAACTATGCCTCCATCATCATGATGCCAGCCTGACCTCGATTTCCCCAGCGACTTCCAAACACAGCGTGCTGGGATTCCAGAGAGGTGTCCTCCCCCAGCTCCGCGTGCGCAAGCTGGACAAGATCCGGCTCAACAGCATCGCCCCGAACTGGACACGGACGAATCTCCTGGACGCCCAGTGGCTGGAGAGCATCGGGGTCAAATTCCAGGACCCGAGCGCCGTGGCGCGGGCGGTGGGCTTGCTCGCCGCGGACGAAGCCCGCAACGGCCAGGTGATATACATAGAGAACGGGAACTATCGGGAGATCGAGAAGGATGCGTTGGCGTGCAGCTTTCAGCTGTGCAATACCCTGGCCGAGGGGAATAGCCACGCACAGGACGACGAGGTCTTTGAGGAGATCTTCAAGAATGGGCAGGGGAGGAAGATATAAAATAAAAGAGGTGAAGGGACAGTGTAGCCGGACGGAATGCACAGTCTAAAGCAGGATATAATGCCTAAATGAAAGAATGAAAGTCCCGTCAGAATCAAGTTTCGCGGAGCTGAGGTTTCGCACAAGGCGGCAACAGTCACACCCCCCCCCCCCCCAAAAAGGGCTTAGCTTGACCTACCAACGACACAAGGCTGACAGGTATGCATAGATGTCAGTGTGTAAAGGGCGTGTACGCCAGTAAATGTAGTGAGCGTTGTCCGACTGCGTAACAATCTTTGTCTCATACCAAGAATCCAATTTTTTCAAGCATCTTCGGACAATTTCGCTATAACAGGACGACATGGTTGAAGGAGTTGGAGGTGTGACTGAGGAGATGCGTGATATCTTGGTCGGTGTAGAATTTCACCAGGGATTGCGACCCTAGCTATCGCGGTATCAATGAGGCCATCGCCATAGGTGGCAAGATCAGACCCTTGAGAAGTGTTGGGGGTAACTTGGAAGAATAGTGAAGGACGAAGAAGACTGAGACGGCCCATGGTTGGGTTTGATGTTGTGATAATATCGTCGGAATGCGACTGGACTTTCACTAAAGCGAGATATGGTAGGTCTGTGGCCGTTGGAATTCCATATGATAAAGCCATCAGCGGCCATGGAGCTGCCGTTTTCGGCCTTCTGCCAGGTGAGGCCGAGGGTGCTACAAACCTCGACATATTCTCTAAAGGTGCTCAGATAGAGCTGCCCTGCAAACAGATTAAACTGAGTAACGAAATGGGTCGGTAGGTTCGGTGATACCGCCATTCCCGAAACATTGTACAAATCCAATCGATCCAACGGGCGGATACCGATGTTAGGCCGCGGGGTATCAATGTGCAGTGTTACTCTCCTCGAACGCCTTACGTCTGGCTTAAGCATCTGTGCTTCATATGGGCTGATGATGACTAGGTCCTTGATGATGTTATCACTGGAGTCGTCCTGGCCAATACTTGTCAGGATCTACTGCACCGGGCCGCTGGTACGCGTCGAGGAGAGAGGACTGGTGGCACCCAGGTGGGATGCTAGAATCGAGCTGGCGAAGTCAACTATCACAAGGACGTCAGAAGGGAACTGTGAGATATCAATATGTGCAGCTGCGCTCGTCAGGCGCAATGTCTCGAAGGCAGGCTGGATGGCCTTTAAGCCTCTCTTGAGTATTCGATGCTTCGCGGGTTCTGCAGGCTCGGGCCTTTATGCCTCTCGTTCTTGCACAATCTCCGGCGATAATTCACGCTCCTGTTCCTCTTGTAGGGTAGCGGTACTGTGTTCAAGGTCATCGAACGGTAGGCAGCGGTTTGTATGCGCTGTATTGCCGTACTTGGTCGGCCTGCGTCGAGGATGTTGTATTTGTGAGCATACCGGGTCGATACCTGTGTTCCAGAGACTGTGATTCGTTTTCAAGGAACTTTCTGGTCCGGGTTTTGGACCCAATCAACTCCCCATCAATGCGAGCATCAGCCTACAGCTGACGTTGGTGTTCAGCCTATAGAGGTATGCTCCGCCGAACGTCGATCTAGGTTTCCGTGATGGCCCAGCAGAGAATGTCGGCGACGCCTACGCCAGTACTTGTGTTCGAGGAGAGTGGTTTTCGTGCTAGAACCTTCCTTTGGATCTCTTCGAAAACGCAGAAGACAACCGACTGTCCTTGCCCCAATTTTCTCATTCTCATACACGCTTTAGGGAGGTCAGTCGTACCTACAGCGACAAGTCTGCAAACTCACCTTGAACCAATCTGTCTTTCGTCAAGTTTACTCCTAAAGTCACGACTGCTTTGTAGTATTCTAGTAGTCTTATGTCGGTTCCTCTTGTATGGACCTCATTAAGGAAGACGACACATACATTGAGTTAGGCGGTAAAAGGCGAAATTTGAAGAGGCTCAAGTTCATCGTCTTCGTTGAAGAACATAAGGGCCTGAACCTGTTCGTAATCCCGCACTCCCCTGAGCCACTCCCGCACAACTTCAACGTTACTGAGTTCTAGGATCTGGGCCCCGACATCCAGAATTACTTACGCGGGTAAGGCCATCTCTGTCACTAAAGTCAATAAGCATTTCGCCGTCGACCCCCCGGCCTCCGGCCTAGATGGCATAAGCTGGACGGAATTGTTAGATCGGAGGAGGCGCTCTAAGACCAATGCGTTCGTGTGCTTCTACTCTAGGAGATCGAGATGCGCCACGCTGAGAGGGAGAGTCGTCCGAGAGTCACTTGTCCCGCTAAAGCCACTTGTCGTAAGCGTTTTGATCTGGCCGATGTCCTAGCCGGAAGCGGACAACTTGTGTGGGAATCCTCTCATCTCTTTTGGGAAAACAAGGTGCGTCAAAAAGTAATCGATGGTGTTCTTGGAATAGCGGAGCGGAGGAAATACGTGCTCGATACATTGGAGACGGTCCTTCAGATTGATACAACTCAACTGATTGATCGTGTCAAGCTAATGTATTTCCCGACCAGACCCTTTCGACCACCTACGCCACTGAAGTCGTCCCCACAGTCCTCAGATCATATGTGACAGCGTATGTCTATATGTGCTGGGGCGAAGGCATTCTGGAGCAACTTCTGTGCCTGCACCTCGTGGACCGACTTGCTGCCTACGGCGGTGCTGGCGCTTGGATCCCTCCCCACATATCTACATACGAGCTGCTGGTGATGCTTTGAGTGCGCCAGAGCTGCTTGAAGCCTGGGCTGCACGTATGACCACGCTCCACCGTTCATGGGCTCCTCCTGACACCAGATTACACCGTCTGCACCATGGTACGTGTCCAGCATCGTCGTCACTGCTGACCAAGGGAAAGGATGAAGCTTCTCTAATCGGACCAAGGCTACATCATCATCGATCTGACTCTGCATGCGATGCTTCTGAAGAGCAGCGTAGATTTGACCAGAGCAGAGAATGATGCTGCGGACCGCCGCTGGGCTGACCGAGTCATGTATGACTGACCGAAAACGGGACTCGCCCACAAAGTCTTCAATTGGGGATCGAGTGAACGGATGCCTGAGGAGAGACTTGGAGAAGAACATGACGAGCGCTGGAAATATCTCACAGTTCGTTAGCCAATATACGGCAAAAAAAAAAAGAAAGAAAAAAAAAAAAATCGACAGGCGGGGAACGGGGTGAACGACTCACGTTTCCTGGAGTGTCCATGGATCTGCCGCCTGAGAAGATGAAACAGGTTTGCAGGCGTGGTGGGATAAGCGACTCGCATATTGCAGCCTCGCTCGAGGTTCTGCTCCACCTGCTCAGTCGATGGGTATGCACGAGGATCATCGTTGCACAGCTGCAGAAACCTTTCAATGCGGGCCGACGAATGCTCCGGTCCTTGTCCATCATAGCCATGCGGCAGGGATAGGACGAGCCCCGAGTGCTGACCCCATTTGGTGGCTCCTCCAGCGATGAACTGATCGATAACTACCTGGGCATTGTTCGCGAAGTCGCCAAATTGAGCTTCCCACATCACCAGGCTGTCAGGTGAGCCAAGAGAGTATCCGTACTCAAAGCCTAGCACCCCGAACTCGCTCAAGGGTGAGTTACAGGCGTGAAATCTCGCCTGATCTGGGCTGAGATGGTCGAGTGGCGTCCATCTCCGTGCATCCGCAAAATCATCACCGGGTTTCCAAAGCTGGTTGTGAACCACAGCATGCCTCTGAGAGAATGTTCCTCTTTCAACGTCTTCCCCAGAGATTCTGACATGATGGCCCTCCAGGCAGAGTGTGCCAAAGGCCAGAGCTTCTGCGGTGGGCCAGTCGACTTCGCCTTCCGACACCGACTTTTGTCGAGCATTAAAGGCTCTTTTGACAGTGGAATGCAGGGTGAAGTTCTCGGGCACCGTGATGCTCTTATCCACGACCATTTTCAGTTGCTCCGAATCGAAGACCATCCTCGTCTGGGCTGAAATCTGTGTTTGTGCTGATGTAGCCTCGTTATGACCAGATGCGGAGGCAGCGACAACCTTGTCTGGCTGGAAGTCCTTGCTCAATTCGTGCTGATGCGACAAGGTTTCCCAGATCTGGGCTTTGCGTTCCTGGATCTCCTCCTTCGACAAGACTTTGTCTCGAATCAGCTTTTGGATGTAAGTGTCGACTGCCGGAAGCTTCTGCGCAATCTTGTCGTACATGAAAGGTTGAGTGAGCTTTGGCTGGTCTATCTCATTGTGCCCATATTTCCGGTAGCAGACGAGGTCCACAAAGACATCCGTCTTGAATTGAGCTCTCCAATCTGCCGCAAGTTTGCAGGCAAATACCACAGCCTCCACATCATCGCCGTTGACGTGTATTATGGGCGCATTTATCGTCTTGGCCAGGTCGGAGCAGTATGTAGTGGACCTTGAGCTCTGGGGATCTGTAGTGAACCCAACCTGGTTATTCAAGATCACATGGATTGTTCCTCCTACCGAGAACGAGGGGATCTTTGAAAGAGTCATTGTTTCATACACAATACCTTGACCCGCAATGGCAGCATCGCCATGGATGTTGAGGAAGAGCGATTTGGATTGTTCCATGTCCCCTTGGTCATGCTGGATCGCCTTGGCCTTGCCAGCCGCAACCGGGTTCGTAGCCTCCAGGTGAGATGGATTGGGCAAGAGAGACATCCGAGCGATTCTTCCCGATGGATATTCACGTTCGCAGTCCCCTCCCAAGTGCGTCAGGACGTCACCATCAAGACTGCTGTCATGGGGCTTCCCCTCTGAAATGAAATCGTAGAAGGTGACTTCCATTGGCCTTTGCATGAGGTGTCCCATCAGGTTTAGGCGACCACGGTGCTGTGACCCGATGATCAAGTCCTCCACCCCGTGGCACTCAACCGACGTGTCCACCAATGCTTGGATTCCGGGTACCAAGGTCTCGCTCCCATCCAAGCCGTATCGCTTCCGATTTGGATATTTTGTCGCCAGAAATGTTTCGAAAAGTGTGGCCCGAAGAAGACGATCCAAAACTAGCTTCATCTCCCCGTCTGAGTACCGGATTGTGTGGCGTGTCTCAGTCCGCTGGCGAATCCAATCGCGCTGTTGAGCATTGGGAATGTGAGCAAATTCTGCTGCCACAGTACCACAGTATATTTGTTCGCAAGCCGCAATGATATCTCGAACCGGCATACTGGACCGTGTGCTCTGCGTGAAATACGGCAGAATTCCTGCCGAACGCACGTCGATTTCCACATCCAGGTCTTTTTCCCTGAGCTTGTGGGACTGCACCTCGAGCTCATCCGGAACTTCTGGCGCAGGAGTCCAGTAATGGCGTTGTCCGAGAGGGTCAATATCGGCCTTGAGATGTCCAAGGGTCTCGTATGCCCGAACGAGGCTTTTCACATTTATATACGTGCCGACGTCTGCTATGGTCCGGTCGCCGAGATCCTGTGCAGAAGTAGAGGTGGACGAGAATCTTGGCGACTGCACTCTTACCGTGCGAGCCTCCAAGTTTCGAAAGTACATCTGCCATGATTTGTCGACGTCGTCAGGGGTTGTCTTCCACTGTGCATACATATTATCGAAGTAGTCTGCAGCATTTCCTTGAAGAAAGCTTTCAGACGGATTCTAGATGGACCTCGCTCCAAATCAGCACATAAACAGAGGCAGTCATGAACAAAAGATCGAGACGCTGTCTGAGTTATCGCGCCATTCACTTACGGGAGAAACATGATGGTGGTGTGGTACGGCGGTGGAGGCTGCTCGCCAACAAGGAAGTCTCCTGCCGGCAGGATATTGCAGCCTCGCCATTGTCTGCACGTGGACGAGATCACACCGTCTGGCGCAGCCATGCCGCATATTCATGTTTGCGTGATCGAATTGGTTGAATGAGGTAGATGCGAAGCCAGTATCTCAGGCCGGTCTAATGAGTGCGGCTGTACACCTGGCTGCATGCAAGGCTTTGATCTTGTCCATCATCGATCTATAGGTGGTTGGTCTAGGTAGGCACATACTAGGAGTGTCTTGCCTCATATGCCCTGCCTGCCGTGTTATTATTACTGGATGCTGTTCTCCCGGGAGGTGCGGCCATAGAAGAACCGAGTGCCCATCTTGCCCAGATTCCTAGGCAATAGTACATCACCACGCGATAGTGAAAGTTGTAGCTCAACACGCCCAAAAATTATCGGGCCGATGTTGGTGGGGGCCCGTGTGGCTGTTCCCGATATATATCGTGCCGAGAGATCGGATCGAAGCTTGGACCATTGCGGACCACACTGTATCCCTGGCAGATTACCGTGTCCAGAACCAGAGAAACGGGCAGACTTGTTCTAGTCAAGTTCTCAGATTTTCTCCCGATTACGAGATGGGACCATCGCCAACTTGCCTAGCCACCCGACACTATCACAATCATCGATGTCCCCACACTAGGCTAAGAAGTACAAGGCTCCGGGAATGTCACTCACATGAGCTAAAGGTGATGCTGCCGGGAGGCCGATCTCGAGACGGTATTCCTACCGCATCTATGAAGCACAGGCAAGGCGTCGACTTGAGAGGGAGGAATTCGCGTGGAATTGCCAATGAAGTTCTACAAGTCACTGAACACGATGCCAGCAGAATCTGCACTGGGGGGTATCATGAAACCGTCCTACTACTGGGCAGTATGGGGCCTTCAACGACCACCATGGGGATGCACACGACCGCGGGCACCATTCAAACGACGAAACTTCTCTGTCGCTGTTCAGCTGCAGGCTGCGGCGGTGGTCAAGGTTCCTACCATGGCCGAATCTATCTCTGAAGGCACACTGAGTGCGATGTTGAAGAAGGTCGGGGACTTCGTTGAGGTGGACGAAGAAATTGCCACCATCGAAACCGACAAGATTGACGTTTCGGTACTTGCTCCAGAAGCTGGAATCCTCCGAGAGATCTTTGTGAACGAAGGAAGCACGGTGACTGTCGGAGAACAAATCGCCCGGATTGAGATTGACCTGGGACGACCACTTTCGAAGGAAGACACATCAGCACGACCAGGGGATGTTTTGGGGATTTCAGAGGCTTTGACTGGAGAGATTGTTGCGCCTGAACTGACAAAACCGTCTCACCAGCCCATTGACCCCATCGAAGAACCAAAATTAGCGACTCCTACACCTACACCACGGAAGCTCACCAACGTGGAGCCTGAGCTAAACCCTGCTGGCTCGACAGCCGCTCCCTCCATGCCTGACGATCGCGGTAAAAGAAGCGTAAGCTACAAGGGAAAGATCGTACGACATGACCTGGCAACCAATTGACTACTTGCAGGTTAAAATGAGTCGAATGAGGATGACCATAGCAGACCGTCTGAAGCAGTCCCAGAATACGGCGGCATCACTAACCACTTTCAACGAAGTCGACGTATCTGCCCTGGTGAAATTGAGGCGCAAATACAAGGATGAGATCCTTGAATCGCATGGTGTCAAGATCGGTTTCATGGGTGCTTTTACCAAAGCCGCAACATTGGCCCTGAAGGCGTTTCCCCAGGTTAACGCGTCCATCGAAACGGACGAACAGGGTGACGCTATGGTGACCTACAGGGACTATGTCGACATCAGCGTCGCCGTATCCACCCCCAAAGGTCTCGTGACGCCAGTTGTCCGTAACTGTGAGAGACTGAGTGTGGTGGAGATTGAGCGGGCAATCGCACACTATGCGCAAAAGGTAGGCCAACCCATCGCCTACCACTCTTCTCTCTCCTCATCCAGATGGGATCGTTGATCACCAGATACTGAAGATGATCATCATAATCATAGGCTCGAAACGGTCGGATTACCATGGACGACCTGGCAGGCGGCAACTTCACCATCAGCAATGGAGGCGTTTTCGGGTCAATGATGGGCACTCCTATCATCAATCTGCCTCAGACGGCAGTACTGGGTGTCAATGCCATCAAAGAAAGGCCTGTGGCTATCGACGGGAAGGTTGAGATTCGACCTGTAAGCCTGCCTACACCACTGACGCTCCGTCATTCTCCCGATGTCTGACTTATCGACAGATGATGTATCTTGCACTCACCTATGATCACCGACTAATTGACGGCCGTGAATCGGTGGGATTCCTGGTCAAGCTCAGAGACTACCTGGAGGACCCAGTCCGGATGTTACTAGAATAATCACACATATATCTCGGCATCTGATACCCGGCGTTCAAAAAGTATAGAGAACAAGTCCCAAGATACCTATGGTAGACGTGTTAGGCGCTCGAGACACGGGAGAATCAATTTCTGACAAGGGTGTCGAGCCCTCTGGGAAAGAATCGTGGCTGCTACGACACCGTCCAAGCAGCGGCGCTTGTGTTTTGGTCGGTCCGTATCGGATCGGCTCAGAGACCGCCATCGTCTATTGTATAACTCAGCGCATAACTATCGGAGACTGTTCACAGCCTCGCCGATTAAAATGCTCCATAGATACGTATGTGCAGCAGGAGCTAGTCCTCGTTGAATGGGCTACTTTGACTCTTGATCCCAAATCTGTCCCTGTTCGACAAAGGGCCGTCGCTTCTGCTATACAGATTTCCTCCTCTCCTCCAGACCAGATTCCCTTCACGCAGCCTTGCACAGCTCCAATGCGGTCAAGCAATCTTTTGAGACGAGGCCACCCTACCGTATTGAACAGATCCAGGCCCTGTCTCCGACATATTCGCAACATGTCAATGTGGAACCCTCCCAGGTTCAAAAATGAACCCACGGTATGTCGGGAACTTTGCTTCGAAACACAAGAGCGTTCCTCTGAATACTCACAATTTGGTTGTTCCATGACAGAAAGACTACGCAAAAGGCTCCCCGGAAAGAGCAGAGCTGGTTGCCGCGCTTCAAAGAGCCAAGCAGCAGCAGCCAGCAAAGATTCCTCTGGTTGTAAATGGTGTTACTGTGAGTCTAAACACTGAGCGACCGCCATCTTATATCGGTGGTACCTATTTGAAAGGCTACGTGCATGCCTCCCACAAAAGCCAGAGAGACGTCGCGCCACTGACGACCATTGGTCTACGGCCATCCAGATCAACTCTGACACAAGCACCAAGCAAATCAACCCTTCACGACATGGTGAGGCAGTGGCCGAGTATGCTTCAGCAACGCCGCAGAATGTCAACGCTGCCATCGACGCTGCTCTGAGAGCAAAATCGGCGTGGGAAAACATGCCATTCGAAGACCGGGCCTCGATCTTCTTACGGGCTTGCGAACTCATTTCGACCAAATACCGCGCCGAGGTCGTTGCCACGACCATGTTGGGCCAGGGCAAGAATATCTGGCAGTCAGAAATCGACGCCGCCGCCGAGACGTGTGACTTCTTCCGTTACTACATCCAAGAATGTTGGGCCCTCTTTGGTCAACAGCCCCAGGTTCACCCGTCCGGCACATGGAACAAGCTCGAGTATCGGCCGCTGGAAGGCTTCGTGTACGCGATTGCGCCCTTCAACTTTACAGCGCTCGGGGCCACGCTTGTCGGACCCGCTGCGCTACTCGGGAATGTAGTCATTTGGAAACCGTCACCTTCTGCCCTCCACTCGGCCTGGCTTCTGCACAAGATACTACTTGAAGCAGGTCTGCCCCAGGATGTGATACAGTTTGTGCCGGGTGATGCCGAGACCATAACGGATACGGTCCTCGCGCGCCGCGAGTTCGCGGGTCTCTCGTACATTGGCTCCACGGCCGTGTTCAAGGGCCTACAGAGGAAGATTGGCAATGCTATTGGCGACGGGGTCTTCGCGAGCTACCCTCGCGTGGTCGGCGAGACCGGCGGCAAGAACTGGACCATCGTTCATGCATCGGCGGACATTGGGAGCGCGGTGTGCAACGCCGTCCGGTCGGCGTTCGAGTACCAAGGTCAGAAATGTTCGGCCCTCTCGCGCCTCTACGTGGCCAAGTCTGTCTGGCCGGACTTCCGACGACAGCTCCAGGAACAGACGGCGCTTCTTCAAGTCGGGGACCCGGAGAACTTTGAGAACTTCATCAACACGGTCATCCACGAGCGGTCGTTCGACAAGCTCAACGAGGTGATCGAATCGGCAAAGTCCGACCCCGAACTTGAACTCGTCGCCGGCGGCCAGGCGTCCAAGGAAGTCGGCTACTACGTGCACCCCACCGTCTACCGGACGAGAAATCCGAAGCACGACATCATGGTCCGCGAGCTATTCGGTCCCATCCTGGCCGTGTACGTGTACGACGACGACAAGTGGCAGGAGACGCTGGGACTACTCGATGGAACCTCGACTTACGCACTCACTGGGGCCATCTTTGCCCGAGACCCGATCGCCTCGCGACAGGCTCAAGAGATCCTCAAACATGCGGCCGGTATGCTCTACCTCAACACCAAATGTACCGGCTCCGTGGTGGCGCAGCAGCCCTTTGGTGGTAGCCGGGATAGTGGCACCAACGATAAAACGGGAACCATGGCTCATCTTCAGCGGTTTACGAGCGTGAGGACCATCAAGGAGGAGTTTGGCTCATTGTCGCAAGTTTTGTATCCTTCCAATGAGGTGTAGGTCAGGACTTCGCATAACCTAAAGACCTGCTGTCTACGTGTCATGCGATGAGGAATCTCACGATCACATTTTAGGTCTCTACAAGGACTTCAAGTTGTATTGCAATCTTGCTCGAATTGAATCATTATCTGTTCACCCTCATCTCTTTCATTTTCCACGCCTGAACAATCCAAAGAACCGCCTTCGCAACTCAGCCTGCATCTCATTTAGTGAAGACTTCATCCTTTCCGCCGCGCCTTGGTTCTCGATCGCCCGACGAACAAGGTAGTACAGGCAGTCCTGGACCGAGCCCCATGAGAGACACTTGTACACACGTGGGATCCCGAGCTCGGTGAGCCTGTGCTGAGCGTCATTTTGATGTATTTGTGAAGGACTCGAGGCGGCCGGTGATGACGGGTTGAGCGCCTTCAGTACTTCTCGTTGATGGTCTGCTTGAGCAAGTAGCTCGCAACCAATGTCATCCGCCATGCCTTGTAGCTGGCCGTAGTGTACTTCGTTTGCGAGATCTCCCGTTTGGGAGAGCCGGCGGACCAGGCTCGAGGCCTTTCGAATCGACTCGGAATTGTGGCCCGCCAGGAATATCCTGGCGTGAGGAAATCCAGAAGTATCAGCAGCAGCAGCAGCAATACCAGCGCCACAGCTACCACTTTCGAAGCCCGGCCACGACTTGGTAATGATATCATGCGCGATGCTGTCGTAGCACTCGTCTGTCTCACGCTTGGTGTCGTGAATCTTACTCCGGTTGTCGCTGCCAATGTAAGCTCCACGGACGAGCTTGATGCCCAGCGACCAGCCTTCCGTCTGAGCCAGGCGCAGATACCGCTCGACCGTCTGCCGGGATGACTTGAGATAGGCTTGAATGGTGGTCATCACCACCATCGAGTTCTCCCGATTGAACTCGCGCATTAGGTCGATGGTCCAATTATCGATAGCCGGATGGTAGACTTGCTGTTCGGCATCAATCCAGAGGCGTTTACCCTGCGATTTCGCCTGGCGGCATATCTCTCTCAATGCTTCCCTCACTTCCGGTGATGGAGACCCCCCGTCTTTCAGCTGCTGGGCCACTCCCCCGCCAGCTCCCGTCAATCTTTTGTGCACGCCGGAGGTTAGATGCGACGACTCGTCGAGGAAATGGTTGGGAAACTTACTTGACGCCGATGTAGTCTCCTTCGCCGACGGCGTTCAATGTTTTTAGGTTGACTTGTTTCCAATCTTCTACCTCCTGCCTCGTCCTATGGCTGCGCGCCACCGTGGATTCCAACTCGTTCGCCGCTTGATGACCAGACTTGGCCATCACCTCCTTCGCGTAGCACAGTATGATCCCCGCATACCCCATGTTCTTGATCTGCTCGATCGTCCGCTGCACTTCGGCTTCGTTTCGCCCAGCGCAGAATTGTCTGTAGATGAGTGGCAGAACCATCGCGCGGATCAGTGGGTTTTTGTCCGCGTTCAGAAATACCGATCGGGAACCGGAGACTTTCTGGAGCAAGGCTAGCGAAGGTTTGTATAAAATCGGGAACTGAAATATCCTTCCTATTATGATGCTCCGGACGAGAGATGCAGACGACAGTCTTGAGAAAGGTCCTGGAGTCTCAGTGCCCGATCGTTGCTCTCCAGCCACCTGTAAATGGTAGTCGCCATCTTCGGGGGATTTCAACTTGTCCCCGGGAGCAGTGGTAGAGATCGATGCCCGTTTGCAAGAGAATCGTCGCAATGCTCCCGATTGAGCGGTGAATCTCCGAACCACGGCTGACTCCGCTGCCATAGTGACCAGTGAGCTGGGTGAGATATCCTGGAGAAAGACCCGGCCCTTTAACGCAGAATAGCTGGCACAGAGGGCAAGGGTATAGGTAGCATAACGACAATATTTGACCGACTGAGACCGTCTTCTTCCCGTGCTAATTCGAAGCACCCGAGCAGGTGCTCGAGGGCTTACAGCGAGTCGGTAAGTGTCTCACCTGCCGCTGTCTTTTCCGACTACCTGTTTCCATGATCGGAAGGGGCTGAAAGGAAGAGGCAAGCTTTCATCGTCTCGCCTCTACCGATGATCCAGATAGAGGACCAAGGGCCAAGGTTGGATTCGAAATCACTCCCGATAATATCTATCGAGGTATCTGGAGACAATGACCCGGGATATCGGGGGTCTGCATATCTCAGTCGGATCATCTGGTTCGGCAAGATTGCACGGTGTGTCATCCGATGTCTGAGTCTATCGGCTCGCGCATGGGCTCAATTAGGTTCCCAGACGCTTCGCCAGCCGATCCTTGCGAAGCCACGATCGTCATTGCCACGTCCGCACGGAGATACTACTTATCAAAAATTGGTTCTGCAATTGACGGCCTTCTTTTACACTGATATCGATCAACAATCGGGGGTTACATCTCGCAATGAAAATCCAATCATGGTAGATGGTTCAGATCCACTCATTGAACCCGTGGCTGGCAAAATCAAACCCAGTTTGCAGTGCATTTACGTCCAGATGATCTGCCAGAAGAAGCATCTGCTCGGGCGAGAAATCAAAGGTTTGAGCAAAGTCAGAAGATGAAACTGAAGCCCCCGGAGGGATCGCAATGGCTTGCTCCTCAAGCAGGACCAGAGGTTGTTCAAGACCATTGCCAGGCAGTTCGGCCATCGCCGTTCCATCATCACCCGCTCGAGAATCAAGTCCAAGCTGGTGATCCTCTGATTGTACGCCGGGATTATGTCGTTGTTGATGAACCTGATCCACCTCGTGGTCTGATGCTGCCGTTCCTGGGCTGCGATTCTGGGCATTCAATGCATCGATGGTGTTCCACAGACGGTCGGCTAGTTCTGAGAGCCTCCGCAGCTCTCGTTGTCGGTACGGGGCGGCTTTGTTTCCTCCTGCTGCAATCTCATCAAGAATCTTGTGGCGCAGATCTTTGGTGGATGAGGATATTGATGCACCTCGAAGAATTTCGTCAACCATCGTGACCACGGATGATGCCGAACAAGCAAATTCCAAATCGAAGGGAAGAAATGTGTCTGCAGTCGTTGATCAGCCTTTTTGAAACTCTGCATAGAGGGAGCCACTGTCAAGTCTATGTACCAAGGAAACTGTGGCTGCTCAAGGCGCTGAGCATTTTGAGCGTTTTGGTGGCAGAATCTGAGCATGTTTTCAACAGATCGCGTATTGAAGGTGGAATATAGACCTTCACACCATTGGAGCCGGGACGGAGGGACTGTAGCGTCTCCTGAAGGAGACAGAGTAATAATGGTCTAGTGGCCAGGACGATACACTGAGAAGGGTGTTAGCTGAGTCCAGTTGCACCGCACAAAATTGGCGAACCTGATTGTAAAGCATCCTCAAATACAGTGCTCCTTTAGAAAGTGTTTCCAGAGAACTCTTAAACTTGAAATCTATAACTTCCTCGAGTTGTTTCGCAATATCGGCCATCTGCTTCAGAACCGATCTGACCTTTGAGAGATATGTATTCTCTAGGCTTCCATTCGCAGTGTACAGCTCTACTATCTGTAAGAAACGAGTACCGGGGGACGATGCGGGTCAGGCTGAACTCACCCGTTAAAATGGATGATACCATGCGACACAACTTGACGTGCATGACTAAGGTGGCGTCGCGTTGCGAGACTTGCTGAGGCGAAGGGAGAGACTGCTGAATGTGGCTATCTTGGGCGGAAATAGGCGCCCCAACCGCTGCAGACAAGGTACGGTCTAGGATGTAGGTTGTCCACCAAGCGTTCCGACACCTTTCGGTGAAACGATCCCCCAGCTGGAGAGGGGGCAATTCGGCGTGCAGTCCCTCCACCAGAGCTATTCGTAGAGCTTGTCCAATCTGAAACCATGTCGAGCGATAGTTAGTCCAAGAGAATTTCTGAAGACGGTGCCTTCAGTGGGGATAACCAACATAGGAATAAGCGCTCTGTTTCATATCCAAACAGTAAAAGTACAAGGCAACGGTGGCAAGTACTTCGACGGCCAGAACGGGCTCTTCATAGAGCTCCGTAGTGTCTGGAAGGATAGACATCGCACGGACGAAGTAATCCGTTGATGAAGTGTTGTCTGGCGAATTTCGAACATTGAGGAAGCCTTTCCCCAGTGCGAGGAGAAGGAGACATTGGATGTACCAGAGTTTGTGTGCACGAGCCTTCTGCGAACCTTGGTTATAGAATTCATGGAGATTTTGCAGAAATTCGTACTCGTCGAACAACCGAAGAATTCCGCCCAGGTGGAAGTTGACCGTATTAACGAGGTAGATGGCATAATCGAGTGATGGCAGTCGGCTCAGATCAAGCGTCATGTCAGAGTTTACTCTCTTCAAGGAAAGATCGTAGGCGTTGCCGTCCAAGGAGAATGGATCGTCCTCAACTTCACCGCCGTCTTTGAGGCTCGACCTGATCATGGTCGCCACACGGATGTTGAAGGACCATGTCGAGCATGCACCCACGTATACTGCACAGTCCCGGTCAGCAAACAGCACACTTCTGAAGTCACGCTCTCCCAAAATCAAATCAAGTGGTGTCTTACGCCAGCGTTTCCGCTGATTCAGCCTGTTTGGCAGGAACTGCGGGGAGATGGCACTGGGATTCCGACCTTCGGTAAAGTCGACGGACGTCTCTACAGCACGACGAGGAGAGGGTAGCAACTCATTTTGGGACACACGCCGAGTACTCCTTGCGGGAGGTGAGGTTGAATGATGGAGACGTGCTCGTTTCCGTGGCGGCGGTGAAGGCCTACTGTCAAGTCAGGTAACATGCAGTTGGAAGAAGAGGTCAAGACATGACCGTTCATCGTGACCGTCCTGCCTCTCTGCGGATGTAAAGACGCATTCTTTGGATCTCTTTTTGCACCGATCACAAGGCTGAGTGCCCGAGCATTTCAATTTGCTGTGTCGACAAAAGAAACAGCTGTGTGTTACAGAGCAGTCAGCATCTCGAAAATGATTCGACGCATAGGCTATACGGGATAGACTTACGCGGCAGGGACGCGACGAACTATCGGTTGAGACACTTGATCATTCATGCTGGGTGAGTATTCTCTTCAGACCATCAAAAGGACTATTTGCAGATTTGCAAAAAACGGACCGAAAGGTCGATAGAAATTCGGGTCGACCGATACGTGCCGGAGGGAGATGAGTGGCAGACGGCAAGACTACGTCGTGAGCCGACGTCGGGACCGCCGAATGGTATCTGTCAGGAATAGTGCCTCAATCCCTTGCAAAAAGACGGAATATCGCGCCGGTTGTGGCTGATTATTAGGCACTATAGCAGATAAGGATAACCCGTCAGGACGTTCCAGACAGTATCATTGCACCATTCCCTAATGGCAATGGACGTGCTGGGCGCCAGTATTGGTGCCTCACCGAGAATTCGAGTTGCTTGAGACAAAGTGTCCTCTCTTTGTCTACCTACATTGCCTGCACAAGTCACCTTATCTTCATTCGAGATATGGCAATCTACTCTACACTATGGCGGCTGCGGCCGAAAGTGTCCAGGCCTATGAGACTGCAGCGGAATACTGTAGAAGAGCTCTTAATCCGTACCTCCATCAGGTAGGTGCCATCAGGTCGGCGTCTATCTACATCTAGACTCTTTGGGTAGACATCGGGGAAAGTTCTTGATCACGACGACAGTAAGTACAGGCACATCAACCCGTTACATAGACGAGGCCTTATTCCGAGCCACTTATGCAATATTACTCAATCTCCGCTGTTTAACCTCAAGGCGGGACCACCGCGACGACACCACCCTCCCGTCCTTGATGGTCGCCAACAGGTGCTGGTCAGGCCGATCGAGGACCGCAATATCCTCGAGTGGATTAGCATTTAAGATCAAAAAATCGGCCAAGAAGCCGGGAGCAATGCGGCCAAGGGTCTCTTCTCTCTGGATGAGTCTTGCCGCATTGACCGTGGCACTCTGGATGATCTGTAACGGTGTTTGCACCTGGCTGCGGATCACGAACTCGTTTGTCTGAGCAGGATGCATTGGACCCAGGAGATCGGTGCCGAAGCAGATCGTTACCCCAGCATCCGTCGCGATTTTCAACGCTCGCAAGCCAGACTCGAGCACTTCGCTATTTTTTTGAGCTGAAAAGGGAGGGAGGAAGCTTGAGAACTCTGGCCTTGCCATGGTGGCATACACCACGAGCGTGGGAGTCAGGAAAACACCCTTACTGGCCATGAGACGCGCGGTTTCCTCATCTAGGAGATTCCCGTGCTCGATTCCGCGAACCCCGTGAGAGATGGCCTGTTGAATGGCCTGAGGCGTGTAGGCGTGGGAGGTGACATATGTGCGGGCATTGGTGGCAACGGTGACAATGGCCTTGATCTCTTCGTCGGAGAACTGGACCTGGTCAATGCGATCCGTCGGGCTGGCGACTCCTCCGCCGCTCATGATTTTGATAAAATCGGCCCCGCGCCGAAGCTCTTCACGAGCATATTTGAGGCAGTCTGGAACGCCGTCCACGACCCGGGTCATGTCGTGACCTCCGGCGCCACAGGCGCAGCAGATCCCCCTCGAATCATGTGCCTTGCGCAAGTCTCCGTGACCTCCCGTTTGGGACAATCCCTTGCCAGCAATGAAGAGTCTTGGGCCCGGGTGTACGCCGTCCTCGATCGCCTGTCTCATAGCTGGCGTGGCTCCAGCGCAGTCCCGGACGCTGGTGAAGCCCCGATCCAACATTCCCTGACATAGCTTTGGCTGTCGGAGCAGGGAGGTGCTGTGGTCCATGTGGAATGTCTCATTCATTCCGGCGTTCCCAGCCACCGCCATTATGTGGACGTGGCAATCGATGAGGCCCGGCAAGATGTATTTGCCCCTAGCGTCGATCACCGTGGTCCCATCATTCGTCGTCGGTCGAGTGTGTTCTTGCTCTGAAACTTCGGTGACAAGTCCTCCCTCAATTCGGATTGTTGCGTTCTTGATCACCTGGCCCTGCAGAGGATCTATCAGATTCGCTCCGGTCAGGACATATGCCTCTTGGGGCAGTGCTGTCCATGGCTTGATCGCCAATTCCATGTCCAGCTTCTGAAGATCCATCTCTTGCACCATTTTACCCGGAGATCAGTCGACTTTATTGCCGCCTTTTGATCTGACGGAGGTGAGGTGGAAACGAATGCATGTAGTGGTCAGTCGCCCAGTGACATATAAAAGGGGGAATCTGACGAGAGCGCTCTCCTCACGGGACGGAAGGCACGAAATTCACCCCAGGCAAGGAAGGGGCTCCGACTTGTCGGTGCCACTTTCATCTCCATGGTTCTCCCTCTCTCGCAACCTTCCCGCATTCTCTATCAAGCCGTATCGCGTGAGATGCAGTGGGGCGAGACACATGCGGAAATCTGATGGTGATTGGTGGGGTACACGCACCCGACTTCGAAGTGGATCTGGTGGAGAAGCACCAAAGAACATTGCACCACCACAAGTTCCTGATTGTTTTGCAACACCTACATGGCACCCCAGATTAACAAAGAAACAGCGAAATCGAGTGATGAGACTAATGGTTTTGCTGGTCCTTGCCGAGTCCGCATCGGTTCCTGACCCGAGTGTTATCTTTGCAGCGCAAGTTCTATCTGGCTTCCCGATCACCGTCCTGATAGCGAGCCCGTCACGGTCCTGATAGCGAGCCCGTCACGGGTTTATGGCACACGAGGTTTTCGGTACATGCTTCGCAAGGGGCTCAGTACTAGTAGGATATCTACACTGAGGATGAGGGGCTTCGTCGTGGATCTTGGAAGCGTCTCGACCGACACCCAAACAGGAAGCTACGAGCCGACAGTTTCCATTAGTATTTATCTGCCCTCTCCTCCACGAGGCATTTGTTGTGAGCTCAAGATTCATCCGTTCTCATTCTTTCGAACAGACCCCCAACTTGACATTTCGAAAGATGGACGACACCACCCCGGCCCAACAAAATGACAAGAACAATGCTCTCACCACCACTGCCACCACAGGACCCTCCACCAAACAGGAGCAATTCGACCTCTTGGAGCAGGACCCTCCACCAAACGAAGCAGAAGAGAGACGGCTGCGCAACAAGATTGACAGAGTGATCCTGCCTCTTGTGAGTCCTGTCTTTTGTTGTTTTCTTTGCCTTTTTGGCGACGTTTCCCCGTCAACGTATCCAATATCCCAAAGTCTGACTGAATGCTACAGATGGCGCTCGTGTTTTTTTCTCAGTGTATGTATACCAAACATATTTTCCAATATAAAATCATCGGACCAACATGGATCAGACGTCGACAAACAAAGCTTGAGCTATGCCGCAGTCTTTGGCCTGGTCACCGACCTTGATCTGCATGGTAGACAATACTCATGGCTGAGCTCCATCTTTTACTTGGGCCAGCTGCTCTCAGAGTTTCCCTTTATCTATCTGATGAGTCGACTGCCTCTGGCTAGATTTGTCGGAGTTACAGTGTAAGTGGCTTCTGGCACACGCCTCTTACCAACCCAAGGAGAGCCGGCTTGCTGACTACGTTGAACAGGATCATCTGGGGCATCATTTGCATGGTCAGCCACCTACACTCCCTTTTACTGCCCCTGTAGGGTCTACGCGGAGGCCAAATCTAATTCAAACTACCGCTAGTGTTTGGCCGCTTGCAATTCTTTCTCTTCGATGATGGGTGTGAGGTTCATCCTGGGCTTTGCCGAGGGAGCTGTCCAGCCTGCGTTCGTCACCTTGACGAGTATTTGGTACAAGAAGAGAGAACATCCTATGCGGATCGGGTGAGCTCCCATCTTAATACAGCCGACCCGGAAAAAATCGAGGCACAGCTGACACCCTTCTTTCCGTGCACAGTATCTGGATTAGCTGCAATGGCCTGGCCCAGGTCTTGGGTGCATTGATGATGTACGGCATCGGCAAAAACCCAACCGCTATTGCTGCCTGGAGAATTATGTTCCTCGTCTGCGGTGCCATTACAATCTTCGCGGGTATTCTGTTCACCCTGGCCATGCCCAGTGGTCCGGAATCTGCCTGGTTTCTCACGCCAGCCGAACGCATCGCCGCGAAGAAACGACTCCAGCTTGAGAGTGAGGGAGGTGACCGGACCAACTTTGCCCCTGGCCAGCTCAAGGAGGCTCTCTTGCAGGTCCGCACCTGGCTCAATCTGGGATTCGGCATTCTTATCACCCTTCCCGCTCCTGTCCTTGTGGTGAGTCACCGCCATTCTTTGATCTGCCTGAAGGAGAGAAAGATCTTCAACGCACGCTTTTTGACCGTCGAACCATGCTTTAGTTTGCCTCCTTGATCATCAACTCTCTCGGCTACGACAAATACGAGACCATGCTCTACACCTCTCCTTCCGGCGCCGTCCAGATTTTCTTCATCTGGGTCGGCATTGCCTTGTGCTTCATCTGGCCCAACCGACGGTGCTGCATCATCGTGGGGCTCGTCATGATTCCCCTGACGGGCATCATTTTGCTTTTCACCCTCCCTCTGACGGCCGGATGGGGGATGATCGTTGCATCATGGCTGGTATGAATCCCCTCCGACCATCTTCCCCCTCTCTGTCTCTCTTTTTTTGTGGACGTGAACACTTATCTAGACTCCTCTCTTCGCAGGCCTCCGTCATCTCAAACATATTCAGTCTGGTTCTGAGCCTCAGCGCATCCAACGTGCGAGGAAATACCAAAAAGGCCGTCGTCAATGCCTTATTTTTCATCGGGTACGCGGCTGGCGCCGTCATCGGCCCACTCCTGTGGGACTCGAACTATGCGCCCCGATACCAACAGGGTCTCATCCTGGCACTTGTCAGCTGGATTGTCTTCGTTCTGGCGGTCATTGGATACTGGTACAGTTGCTATTGGGACAACAGGAAAAAGGCGAATTTGGGCGGGGTCTCTGTGGTTTACACCGATGGCAGGGAGGTCACTGACAAGGGTGACCCGACCTTCAGGTACACTTATTGAAAAGCCTGGATCGAGCATGGACGGACATCGACCGAAGATAGCCGGGCGTAATTCTCTGAGTCGAGTGGAAGATGAGTCGTTTGTCTATCTAGCTTTCGACTGGCCCAATGTTGTTGATCACAAAGAAACTCGCCTGAGCATGCCGATGAGTCGACGGCTGGAGCCTTGAAGTCGTTTGTGCTTTGCTGGTGTCGTCAAACTTGGAATACACGTGGTGAAGATTTGAGAGGCAAACGTTATAGATGATTCTTGATCAGATTTCGCGTTACTCGAGCTGCTACGTGTGGCTAATTATCCTCTATCCATTATCGCAGTTCCAGTCCTGTGAGATTAAGAAGATGCGGCGGCGGCGGAGGAGGAGGAGGAGGAGAAGAAGAAGAAGAAGAAGAAGAAGAAGAAGAAGAAGAAGAAGAAGAAGAAGAAGAGGGGTTGAGACGGGAGAGAGGGAAGGACGTTTTGAATCTGGCGTAATTGAGAAAAGGCACGTTGATATCCTTGATCCATGTTATCTTTCCGCCTCTTGGTGAGGAGAGATGGAAAGATGATTCCTTGATCCCCTTCATGTGCTGAAACCAGCCTGGCCGCGATCGTCTGGGGGGCTCGTGCCGAATTCATCCACCAAATCTCCCTCGCCGAAGATCTGAAAGCCATCAAACCCAAACAGTTGCAAGTCTTGGGCAGAGTAATACGCCGACAGGGACTCCCAAGTGGCAAAGTCCAAACCTCGATGGTCTTCCCGGTGGCCGCCGTAGTTATCTGGTCGAGCCGTTTGGCCTAAGTGAGGAAAGTGGTGAGCACGATCTGCTGCCGGCCGCGGCTCGAGGCCTCCTGACCACGGCAGTTCGACAGGGTCATGCACACTTCCCTCCGCTGGAGAGGGTCTAGGTCCACTATCGACTTTGTTCTGATGGTCATCACTTTCATCACCTGGCCGTGGTGGTAACGGCGACGCCAATGTCGAAGATGAGATCCCAGGACCACCTCTCCGGACATGCGCCCGTCTTCGAAGGCGAGCTACCGTATTCTGTAAAAGTCGGACGAGCTTATACCCATGTCCTGCATTTTTGTCGCCTCCTGCCAGGAAATCCAAGGCTTCCATGCCCTGGTCGATAGCATGTTGAAATGACGGAAGCTGCTCGGACTCCTCGTGCTGGATGCTTCCCAAGAGAAGGATGACTGTGGCGGAGATGCATGAATGTAAGTCCGTGTAAGAAAACCGAGCAAGTAGAGACCGACGGTGAAGAGTAGCAATGGCCTCCAGAACTTTGAGTGCGGCCCCGACGCAGCGGGTCGATAACTCTCGCTGGACGGGCGTTTGCTCTCCGGTTTCTCTCCCATGCGGGACGCCGCCGTGCTGGCCCTTGAGATGGTTTTTCACGAGATCGAGTAAGGTCCGTCGACCTAGATCGACCCAAACCATCTGGTACATCATATCCAGGTGCAGGGTGGCCCGGACCTGAGCTTTAGAATGGTCCAAAATACTCGGCGGTAGTCGATCCTTCCACTGCTCGAGCAATGTTCGAATCTCGTTCAAGGCGATGAGATCCGAACCATCCAGTCTGTCTCCGATTGTCAGTCAGAAAAGCAAAAACGGCACTGTGCCCTGTTATTGAAACCAACCTCTTCCGAATTACCAGGCTGTGAAGCAGAGTGAGCTCTGTGAAAGCTGTCAGACGATCCACTCGAGTAGGACAACTCTGGTCAATGTCGTCCAGGCGCGTTGGTAGTGAGATGGATATCTCCGTGGTTTGAAGCATCTCCGGATATCCTAGAGCCATGGAGATTCGGCTGTCGGAGTATAAGTATGTCAACCATTCAATCTCGGGGAGAAACCCTACCGTTCAATACAATACACTGTCCAGAACACACGCTTTTGCACTTCCCGGGCCTTCTCTGATATATTGGGCGAGCCATCCTTTCTATGAAAAGACAGGGCCACGCACATTCTCAACGCCATGCCGCTGTATGTGTATCCCATCTCCCTGTTGTCCGAGGGCATACCGTAAATCGATGTGAGAAGACATACCTGCACGCTAAGCAAGGAGGGTCGTCGGAGGGCTTGCGGGATCAGTCGTTGGGCCTGATTGAAATACTCGGCGCCAGGGAGGGTGTCTGAAGGATGATCATGTTGCTGTGTTTGCCTGTTCTGGTCCATCTTTGAGTCCAAGGAACGCAAATGCTTGAATGAGGCGCCCAGCGCCATGACCATTAGCGACAGGCACAGCAGTGTGTCGTCCACCTGACATTGCCCTCTCTTGGCTTGGAAAACCAGAGAAAAGACCTCTCTGAGCCAGGTTTCCTCAAAATAAAACCAATTACTCTCCAAGTAGAGAAAGAAGGTCGAGAGATGAAAATCTGCCTCGGCCTCCGTGGGAAGACTCAACAGCGTATTTCCCACCACGGATGCGTTGTCTCCGGGCATCAGGATTTTGGATGTATAGAAAGCCTGCTACCCAAGGTTACTTGGCTGAGAAGTGAGCACACGTGGAGAGGTCTTCATGCTCACCGTATGGCCCGTGGGAAAGGAGTGGTCGCCATCGTGCGAGACGACCTTTACAACACTGGAAAAGAATCCGTCGTGCGAGCCGGATACCTCATAGCCTTGACAAGCTTTCGTTAGATACTTTGGCTCATACAGCACCAGGGGCAGAGTGGAAGCCAAAAATCTTACTCACACACCTTGCTCTTGCACCTGGGCCGATCGTGGAGGCTGGCATTCCTGCTCCCGATGTGCATTCTGAAGAGGGCTATGAAGAGCAACCTTGGCCGGTTCTCGGAACGGTGGCCCATGTACCAACATTGGGGCTCCTACTGATGAGCTATTTTTGTTGAGGATAAGGGATACTATTGTGGCTAGGTGCCGTGGCTCAAGGATGATACCGGGATAGATGTTCTGGCACTCGCTGTGCACTGCGTCCACGATACTGGCCAACGCATTCGATCTATAACCCAAAGCTTAGCCGATCCGATCACTACACTGAAAGACATGACGGACTCTAGGTGATCAGTTTCCCGTCCGAGGTCGTCAGTGCGGACCGTTTGGCCTGCCGCAGGCTCAAAGACGCAAAATGCATTGGCGTCGTGACAGTTCCTGCAACTCGCATCTCTACCAGGGAGACATTTCTTCTTTAGATTTCTGCATCGGCTGCAAGCCAATGCAACCCGCCTTCTCTTTTCAGGCCGCACTCTCGGGCGGAATCGTTTCGTTGGGTAAGGTACTTCCATCAGTTACAGGCTGTCGATGGGACGAGGAAGTGAAGTTGTACAAGTGAGTGAATAAAGTGCCAGACAAGTCGCAGATTAAATGCCACAACGGTTAGACCTACTTAGCCTAAGCTCTAGGTGGGTGCTAGGTACTAGGGTAGCTGTGCCTTAATGGAGGACCTAGCAGATTAAAGCTTAGACCTCTCGCCCCCGCGCCCGGAGACACAGATCAGAGCTTACCCAGGTACCCCGACTCGTGCCAGCCGGGCGGGCCTCGAGGTGAGTGTAGGGCGGCATCACCCCCGTCCGAATCCGGGATGAGGCGCGAGTAGTTTTTACTCATCTTGGCGTTGGTCCCTCGCGACTGTTCAAGCAACCAGCCTGCCATCATAACATCACCCACTCATCCTTCTCGCGCCTCACCTCACCTCACCTCACGCGAGCTCGAAGCATCTGCAGGAGCCCTCATTCTCTTGCGCACAGTGAGTCCTCCTCTTTCAACCTTCGCAATGGCAGACAGAGCGAGCAATGTGCTGAAAAGGCTTCACCCGGAAGACGATGAAGTCGAGAGCCAGAAACGTGCCAGATCCAACAATGGCTCTCCTCGTCCCACAACCGCAGCCACCTCCGCCTCCTCTACGCCGATGGGATCAAAGCCAGATGCCGATGCGATAGTGGCTCGTGCTAAGGCTGCGGCTGCGGCCAAGGCGGCCGAACTGAAAGCGAAACTGGCAGCCATGAAGAATGGTGCAGCAACCTCGTCGCCCGCGATGGCAGCGAGTGCGTCCCCCACACCTCCTCTGAGTGCAGCCGACAGGATTGCCCAGATGAGGGCCCGTGTGGCGGCGGCAACTGGTCGAATAGCGACCCAGACTCAGCAAAGGCCATCAACGAATTACACTGCGCCAGCCTACAATGACGATATGTCCAAAGCACGAGGAGGGTTGAACATTGGTATACACCCTGACTTGCTGGGCGATACCCAGCATGACACTCAGAGGAACAAGGGGCGAGCGCCGCAGCCTAAGTTTGCAACTGCTATGGGAAATCGAAGAACAGAATCTCCTGCCCCGTTGCAACAAAAGGCACAGCTGGATCTCTCGGGGCCTTCGTTGGATGAACTCAAAGAGAACCCTTATTTCGATCCGAATCTGGGTTCGCGGAATGTACTACCCAAAGCCCGGCATTCTAGACAGCTGGTCTTCAACCAAAAGGGCAAATACATGCAACAAGCGGCGGCACTCCGACGACAAGCGCAACTGGAAGCTATGAAGAAGAAGATTGCGGAGCGCGCGAGGCAGGCTGGGTTGGAAGAGGATCTCGATACCGAAAAAGCGTTCCTTGTCCCTGCCCCGCCTGACCTGGAATGGTGGGACGAAGGTCTCGTTAATGGCAAATCCTATGATGCCATCTCCGATCCGGCAAATCTGAAGATCGATACCCCGGACAGCATCATCACAGTCTATATCCAGCACCCTGTTCTCATCGAGCCACCGCAGGAGAAGAACAATCCGGCACCGAAACCCATGTATCTCACGTCCAAGGAACAGGCCAAATTGCGCCGTCAACGACGCATGGCTGATCTCAAGGAAGAGCAAGCCAAGATCCGACTAGGCCTCGTTCCACCTCCTCCACCCAAAGTGAAAAAGAGTAACTTGATGCGTGTTCTCGGTGAGGAAGCCGTCAAAGATCCCACGGCTGTCGAGGCCCGCGTGAACAGGGAGATCGCAGAACGAGCAAGGAAGGCCGAAGAAGACAATCTGTCACGCAAATTATCGAAAGAACAACGCGCCGAAAAACTGGCGAAGCAGCAAGCCGAAGACGCCGCCCGTGGGATCCACATACGCGTTTACAAGATCGACTCGCTGGCCAACGGCAAACACAGATACCAAGTCTCTGTCAATGCGGACCAGAATAGGCTCACGGGCGTCGTCATCATGCACCCGAAAATGAACCTCGTCGTGGTTGAAGGTGGCGAGCACAGCATCCGGAACTACGACAAGGTGATGCAGAACCGCATTCGATGGACCGAGATGGAAGCACCCCGGTCTGTGGCAGAAGGGAACCGCGAAGCCCTGGCAAAATGGCTCGAGGCCGAGGACGAGAATGGCGAACTGAAAGATCTGAGCTTGAACAAGTGCGAGTTGATCTTCAAGGGCGAGGAGAAACAGCGCAATTTCAAGCGGTGGCTGGGAGCCAGGGTGTGTGAGACAGACGCACAAGCTCGGGACGTGTTGAGCAGAGCAAAGATGGAGAACTTCTGGGCTCTGGCGAAGAGTTTCAAGAAGGAAGTCTGAAAGGGCCTGTGGAAGGAAAAAAAAGGGAGGTACATATATATACTCAATATCGCAAAGCTGGCAAATACCCACGTATCAATAGGAGAAACCCCCCATGGACATGGACGAGTCTGTCCCGTCACTCACTTCTAGTCTCCCTGTATTGCACGTCTTGAAAGACCTACGCTCACACAACAGTGACAGCGTCCTCTCGAGACATGCTCATCAATCACCCTTCCCTTTGGCCCCAGTACGCCGTGCTTTCCTTTTGTCCTGCCCTCCTCACAATAGACACCGAGCAGAACGGGAGCAATAAAAACACGAACCCATCCCGCCTAGTCTTCGTTCTTCGAAAAATGAAAACAGGAGAAGAAGGAAAAACCCCTGCGTGGCATCTCTGACAAGTATTCGCATGGTAGTTCGGTGCCTGCCTGCCACCACCTAGTGCTTTCAGAGCAGCAAGCCTTGACGATAAAATCCGGATTCCCTGTTCTTTCTTCCCAAGTGGTCTTATGAGTTCAGCTTTCCTGCTGCCACTTCCAGTATGCCCGCCACTTTCTCGACCTCGGCTTGCGCCAACCCCCAGTTTCCGTCGTTGATGGCATCTCTCACACTGGGGAACGTCGCATCGTCATATCCACTCCACAGCTGCGGGGCAAATATGACATGTTTGAACTGTGTTCGGTTGGCCAGTCCTCCACCATCGCTCAGGTCAAGAAGATCCGTCTCAAAACGCGTGAGGCGATTGTTGTGATCCAAGCGAGCAAGGCCCATGGTCGACGATTCGAAACCTCCGGAGCCGAAGATGAAGTCACGCCAGGCCGAGTCGAAAGTGTGGAAGCGCAGGGCCTCCTGAGCAAGGAGTTCCGCTGCCTTCCGCAAGGGGGAGAGATCGAGAGTGTTTGCGTCGGCTGCTGTAGGTGCTGACTCCGCATACGCTTTCAGGTCGTCGATATACCTCTCAATAGCCCTAGAGTAGGCGCTGATGTCGAAGGGGATGAGCGGCCGATCGGCCAACTCCAGAATGAGGAGCGCCCAAATCTCACCCATGGTCTTATGGTATGACCAGTCTGGGTCACCGAACTTGGCCATCCACTCGAAGTTATCATAGCAAGAATGGTAGGGGAATCTAGCTCCCTTGAAAAACATGTCGATCGAGGAGGTGCCAACCATGTCTTGAAAGGCCACAAAGTCGCTTCCTGCGCCGAGGCCTTCAATTCTTCGGCTATCGGCGTCCCAGAGTTCGCGGATAGATTTCCCTGTGGAAGGATCACTGACGCGGTTGATAACGTGCATAAGGGGCCGTTCGTACAGGGGAGAAGCGGCGGCGTGAAAATCGGTACCAGTCACTCCGACATCGACATTGAGGTAGCCGATTCCATCTTCACGCAACTGGTCTTCACGACTCTCGACGTACTCGGTGCTGCCGATCAGGTTGTACTCCTCCCCGTCCCAGCTGGCGAATTCGATTGTGCGGAGTGGCCGCCAACCTAGTCGACGCAGTTCACCAAAGATCCGGACGACTTCAAGCATGACGGCCGTGCCGCTGCCGGGATCGGCGGCGCCTGTGCACCATGCATCGCGGTGGTTGCCCACCACTATCTTCTTCTCGGGCTGCTCCCAACCTGTGATCTTGCCCAACACGTTGTAGATAGGTTGCTTCTGCTCTTCATCCTGGAGATTCTTGAGGTTAACTCTCGGAGAGTCCTGATTCCCCGTCCAGTATTCAAAGTCAGGAACTCCTTGCCAGCCATCCTTCATCTGATTGCCATGTCCTTTGAGGGACTCGAGTAGCTGCTTCGCATCCTCCCAGGAGATGGGAATGGACGGGATCTTGTTGAGACCGGCGCTCTCCTCGGGTTTGAGATGTTTCTTGTTATCTGGCGTTGAAGCCCATCCGGGAGTGAGAACATCTCCAACAACCCAGGACATGAGGCTGACAGCGCCCCGCTGTACAGCATCTTGCGGCATAAATCGCCCGTCTGGAAACGTCGGTCCCTGGACGTAGCCATCTTGGGCAGGATCAGAGTAGATGATACATCCCGCAGCGCCGGCAAGTTCTGCGGCTTTGACTTTCAGCGCCCGGTCTCCTTGAGTGCCATAATAGCGAACAAGGACGACGGCATCCTTGACGGATATGTTGTTATCTTCGAGCGTCTTGAAGTCCTCCCTCGACCCGAAGTTGGCGTATATCAGTGGACCCGTCACGTCGCCCGACTTCGAATGACCATGAAACACCAGAGACTCCTCTTGGTCCTCTTCCAATTTAGCCTCCCATTTCATACTGTCCGGCTCGACAATCGCCACTCTTCTCCCATCTCTTCGTGGGTAGTTGAGATAGACCTCATATCTCTCCATTTCCACGTCTTCCAATTCACCCGCTTTGAATAGCTCGGCCACCCATTCTCCCAGGACATAATTGCCCTCGGTCCCCGCGATATGGGGAAAGTCCGTTATGTGCTCCAGATACTTTTGCATATCTCCATGATCGTTCATATGGTTCTGTACAAATATTCTGATAGACTCGGGGTCGTATATTTGGCCCATTCCCATGCGATTCTTTGTAAATGACAGAACGTCCGACGCTATAAGTACATAAAGAACACCCATGATCAAGAAAACACCAAACAGTCGCCCAATGATGACGACGCGGTTCGCATCGAACTGTTGATAGTTTATTCGCGGCCATGAAATCTTGGAGAGGTACTGGCGAAAGGAGGGGAGGGTTAAGGAGGAGAACGAGTTGGTCAGGTTGGTGAAACTCTTGGAGAGGCGGTATCGAAGGAGGGAGCGATGGGAAGAGGAGTCGCTCAGGGGGTCTTCCACGTCCATCTGCTGCATCTCTCTGCGCACCTCGTCTTCGCCATCTTGCTCGATACCGTCGAGGGAATCGAGACTCGGTCGCGCAGACTCGACAGTCGGGGGGTGATAGTTTCCCAAGGACCCAAGAAGACCTTGCCTCTCCGCATCGTCACTGATCTCTTCTGGACCGAGTCTGGATTGGGAGGAAGTAGGACGGGATGAAGTGGCCTCCTCATAGGTAGGGATGGGCAGGTGCTGGTACTGGCTTTTGTCCCCCATGGTGGTTCGATGGATAAGAGTGATGTCCCGAGGGACGCCACTCACTGTCGCATTATGGTCGATGCATGCAGGAAATGATGTTACCGCGACGGTGACCGGTAGACGGGGATAGGATCACTATCAATCTACCAAAAAAGTACAAAGTGATGATTATCGGGGGGAAGGAAGATCTGGAACAATCAGCGCAGGCAACGCAGGATGCTGGATGCTGGACTGCGTGGCTGCGCCTCTCGCCCAGCTTCTCTGGCCTCGGCCGCCTGCGGACGACGAATTGACGGTTTCCTCCAAGCGAAACTCCCCACTGAAACACGTTGCCTTGACCCGATATGCCACCTCCCGAATCTTGGGGTGTCTTGGTCCACTCCCGGAGTATGCGATGTATTAATCTTAACCTGCTCTACTTATGCATTGTTGCTTCCGTCCACCGAATTCTTTTCATCGAACCAAATGCCGCAGAATCCATCCGCTCTCCTACCACATGTGTACCACGCGAGCCTTTGACCTTTCTGCGGTACAAAATGACATCGAACTCAGGGAGTGCTATCATAAGTGCCTTGGCCATAACAGACGCCTTCAATCGAGGTCCCATTCACTTGTTGAACGGCTTTTCCGTTGGCTCCAAACAAAATCATCTGGCCACCTGCGTTGCGGTGATCATACGCAGGCCAGTTCACACTCTGTGGTCCATTGGTTGGATCCTTGACAAATGCGAGAACATAGTCTTGCATGGCGGCACTCGTCTCGATTTCCAGTTGTGACACCTCTCCAGCTCTGATATCATATGTCCCAAACATCATGGCCAGATCTGCGGCGTGATATGCGCCCATCCACCACAGCGGATTAATGTTGGAGAAGTTCCCGCCATAGACATACCGAAAGGTAGAGATGTTCAGGTCGTTACGCTGCAGACTTGAGTTGGAAATGCCGCAGACGGTGTTGAGAGTACCTGCCGACACTGCTTGTGGATTAGGGCCTGCGGTGAGATTGTTCAATGGATACGGTGCCAGTGATGCATACTCGTTGGCGGTGTTCGAAATTATAGCCGGCACTCTCGCAACCTGGCCAGCCTGATATCGGGCAGTGTAATTGCTAAAGACGACGTCCTCGTCCGCAATTGGGGTGAAAGCGATTGGAGCCTGACCAGTGTTTGTTGTGCTTGAATTGTCCTGGTACTGACCAACGAAGTTCTCGATCTCACTGACAGGAACTCTTCGCATGCATTCTAACTCAGCAGTCTTGTTGGCTGGAAAGTCACAGCCGAGATTGTGTGCCACAAATGTGAAGTTGGTGCCATCGACGTCAGCATTCGCAGTGCTTGATAATGCTGTTCCAGATTGCATGAAGAAGCCGCGTGCTATGGGGTCCTTATAGTAAGCAAAATTGTAATAGTCGGTCGAACGAGAACCTGCTGATTGCCCCCAGAGCGTTATAGCGGTCGGATCGCCGCCAAAGCTTGCGATATTGGCCTGCAGCCACTCAAGCGCTGCCCTTTGATCTCGAAGGCCCAGGTTTTGAGTTGTCAATCCTGCCGCGTTGGGGAAGCCCATGATGTTCACCCGGTAGTTGATGGTTACCACAATATGGCTCTGGCTTCGCGCTACCCATTCAGCCGGTATTTGGATCGGTATATTGACTCCTCCAGTTACCATGCCTCCTGAAAGGCTTGTCAGAACAACGAAGGATCTCTCAAAGGGGACATACCTCCTGTCATGAACATAATCACCGGGAGCTTGGAAGCCGCGGTGGCATTGAGCGGAGTCCAAATGGCCAGACTCAGGCAATCTTCAGACGTCCCGTACGCATACAGGCCGGCACTGGTGCTTTCACCGCCATCAAAGATCAACCATTCCGGAATCTGCTCACTCCACACCGACTTGACCCTGCTCACAAACTGTGGGCACGAGAGCGGATATTGAGTGGCATCATAATGCTTGTTTGAGGTCGGAAGCTTCTGAGGAGGGAGCCAGCGGCGTTCATCTGTTGGAGGAAGAGCATATGGAACATTGAGAAATTCGCGAACATTTGGGTAAGTTGGGTTGAGGAGCCCAGTGAAGATGCCTGTGCTCGCGGTGACTGAAAGGCTCTGGCTGGATATGCATGCTGCGCCGGCAACGGTAGCAAGGCCACCGAAAAGGAACGGGACAAGCAATCTCATTATGGCGATGTGGGCTTAGACGGTGCGAAAGGGATCCACAGAGACTTCTTCGTCCCGGCTGTCGCCCTCATGGTCTAAATACTCCATCCAGTGATGTATCGATCCCGCTTCTCTCGGAGTGCTCTCCATATTTCCCAGGGATGCCTCTCGAACATCGCTGCTTCGCCGGTATTTGAACCGAGCAGGGCACGAAGTGGTATTGAGAGAACGAGGGGTTGATGCAGATGGAGATGTCTCTCAGGTAAGTGGTGAAGCTTGCACGGATAAAAGGCCAGGTCATGCAGTCAATATCAAGCTAAATCCCCAATTAGCCAGATCAATTTCTGTGGAGATGATGATCGACGTCTCCACGCATCCTTCAAGGCTTGATCGGCACAACGCGGGGTTTGGGGAGGAGTCGATACAAGGATACAAAATACATCCTGTGACTGCTTTTGAAGACATGGGTGGTTTTGACCGAGCAGGGCTGGTTCAGGACAGAGCTGCCGCATGACAGGGAAGTCTTGAGCCCTGTATATCGGTTTACCTGGTGTCCAGCAGTCATGACGGCAAGTTGCTTCCGGAGAACCTCGTCGCCCTACCCACAATTGTCCACTCATACATGGCCCAATCCAGACTTTTCAGGTGGATGATACTTGATACACGTCAAGGGACCTTCGATTCTCGATATTCAACAATTCAGAGGCGCATGATATCAATGCAGATGACGCGTGGATGTGGCCATCGACGTGGTCACTCCGGTTCACGTTTCTTCCGGCGAGAGGATGTGACAGGTCCAAGAAGCCTTTCCTCGAGTCACTCGGTTTTCGGATGCCCAAAGTCGGCCGCCCCGTCCAGGAAGCAGTGGAAAGAATGATATTTCGGTGCTACCACCATCCTGTGCTAGTGAATGGTATCCAACAGTAGTGCTTCCATAAACTGTTACCTGGAGATTGGCCAAATGCACAAATCACCCCTCGAGTCCTTGAGCATCGCCATCTCCAGCGCGGAACCGGCCTCGAATCAGCCTCTCATTCCAATCTTGTTCCATCTTCTGAACCCTCTCCCAGCCCAGTTTCCGCTGATTCTGCTGAGCACTCTCCCTCCCACCACTTTCACTCGCATCTTGTGATTGCTCGTTCGCGATCTCGTCTTGTCTCTTCCTCCCAGACCGCGCCGCCATGCTCGCCAGACTCGCAACCCTCGCTCGATTGACATCCTCCTCTCCCCGACGCAGCAGGTTATCCCGCTCGGCGATCCATGCCTTGTACGATGGCTTCTTCCGACGCTCCGTCTGTGTAGTCTGCTGGCCATCCTCGTCGAGGTACACGCTGTACTGGCAAAATTCCCACACGCGAAGCTGCTTTTCAAACCCGCTGTTTGGGCATATTTCTGGGCGCGACTCCCTCGCCAGCGTCAGGGCGTCCGAGTACGAGAGTTTGAATTTCCGCATCACTTTTTTTTCGGGTGAGTTCCAATGTCAGCACTGCATATTTCGCTCGTTTTATTTCGACAAAAAGAACATAATCGGGGAAAAGAATGCTGGTACGTACAGAATCCCACGACAAAGGCTCCCGAGCGAGAAACGCCCAGCTTACAGTGGACAAGGATACCGGGCTGAAGCTGGTTTCTGTTTCCAGCAACAAGCTCTTCTTCTTCCTCTTCTCCTCCTTCCTCGCCACTCCGACCCAAACTCAAGCCCTCTTCGATCCAATCGCACGCCTCCCCGAGATACTGGAGGATATCGACAAAGGGGTCGTCATCGATCTCGATCGCCCAGGTTTTGATATCGAGAGGTTCCATCTGTTTTTCGTTGCCCTCTCCTCTCCTCGCGGCGTGAGCGTCAAGGTGAGCATCTGTTGCTGTACGCCCAATTTCATGGTCCTGTGCCACCGAGAGAATGCGAACGATGTTGTCTTCTCGGCGGCATCGAGTTGAAGACGCGGCAAAGCGACTAGAGACACACGTGGTTTCCATTGATGAGTTCAAACATGTTTTGTGTATTTTGTCGGAAAATTTGAAGAGAAAGAGAATAGGAGTGAGACTGAGAGTGGTAGGAAGAAAACTGTTTCACGTACTCGGATATAAACAGGCCAGGGACGGCTTTGATCGGGACGAGTTTCGGCCTCTGTAGCATGTCCATCACAATCGCACTCGCATTCACATACGAGTAGGGCAATTCGAATTCACGGTTCTGCGGTTTGGTATCGGGTAATAATCTCTTGGAGATGTCCTTTTTTTTTGGTCGGTTGGTTGGTTGGTCAAGATTAACGGATGCTGGCTGATTGTCAGTACAAAGTCACGGTGTGTCGTCTACATGATAAACAAGTAATTCAAACTACAGTAACTTATACTGGGGGCTTTTTCTTTAATAATTCCCTTATTCACAGGTTGGTACCTAGATACCTAGGTACCAAGTAATAATAATCACTGTAGCCTATCTCAACTCGAGAATGACTGACCAAGTAATGGGGGGCCGAAACACATTCCTGTCGCCATGGCTACATCAGGCATCAGGCATCAGGCACCGAGTACCATGTACCAAGCCCCCAGTTGGAGGTCCATGCATGCCTCGTACACCCCCTTCTTCAAAAGGTCTTACCCCATCATTTCTCTCAAAGAGACATCACATACGAGTTTCTCATGCCGAAGTGGATGGAGGAGTGGACGAGCGAGGCTGAGTGGATCCAGGGGGTCCCCGTAATGCTTACCTCTACCACCTCGTACTTGTAGGTATCTATGTAGGCATCTACGACGTATCTATGGGGTGTGAGCACTAGCGGCCGAAGCTGCCCCTACGTAACACAGGCACCATAGGTCTGGGACCAGGTACTCGGCTTCCCGCTCCATGACACCCTCCAGAAGATCGACCTACTGGTGATCTGCTGCCACTGGATCGGACATACATATCTGACGTACGTCGAAGTGGACGCGTACCAATACACATGGACATGACAGACGGCAAGCTTGGAGACCAGGACACAGCTCTCTATTTAGCTTTATGACGCTGATCTAAGGTCACAGCCCTACAGACCGAGACTATTGGATACTCCTCTCTACAAGGTATCTACAGTACCGTTCTTTCAGAGCTCAACGCTTCAGACACTCTATCAAAAGATCCAAGTCTCAAACATCATTCCCCAAACCGCGTGACTTCGAGACCCTCGAATTCATTGTCTCGCCGCCACTTGTTCAAAATGTCAACAAAAGCCAGCACACCCCCTCCGTACGGTGCGTTACGTTGGGCACGCAGCGAAAAGTCGCCTTCATTGTTGTAATAGCCTGGGGTGCAGTCGCGCAGGAGGTTGAATCTCATCTTGGTGGTCTCGACGATGGTGTCGACCCATTGGGCCTCGGCAGCGGCCGTCGCTTCGATCGTGGCGATCCCGCGTCTCTTGCACTCGGACACGACGTAGGCGAGATGTCGGGCCTGTTCGTTGGTGAGGTGGATAAAGTTCACCGACAGAGCGGATTGGAGATTGCCAACGAGGAAGCAATTGGGAAACCCGTTGGTGGTCCAGCCGTGGTAGGTCAGGGGGCCTTGTCGCCACTTCTCGGCCAATGTCCGATTGTCGCGCCCGTATATCTCCATCCCGGCGCGTTGCGAAAAGTCGGTCGTCACCTCGAAGCCCGTGGCGTAGACAATGCAGTCTAATTCATACTCTTTCCCGTTTGCCACGACGCCTTTCGAAGTGATCGCTTCCACCCCTTTGCCTTGGGTGTCAACGAGGTGGACATTCGGCCGATTAAACGTCTGTAGATACTCGTCGTGGCAACAGGGTCGTTTGCAAAAATGGTTATACCACGGCTTCAGGCTCTCGGCCGTCTTTTTGTCCTTGACGATGGCGTCTACCCGCGCACGTAGCGATTCCATCTTCTTGAAATCGGCCAGTTGGAGCTCCGCGGCGTATGCCTCGGGAGACATGGCCTTCATCTTTGTCGGGTTTGGACGGAGATTTCCTAGAGACTCGGTCCATGCGTCGGCGACCAGGTCTTTCTCCTGATACCCACCGCTAAGGATGATGGTAAAGTTATCCATGCGTTCCTGTTGCCAACCCTTGTGTAGCGTCTTCGCCCAGTCCTTGTCGGTCGGTTTGTTTCCTCGAACATCAATCGAAGACGGTGTCCGCTGGAACACGTAGAGCTCCTTGGCCCACGCCCCGAGTTGCGGAACTAGTTGAACCGCAGTAGCGCCCGTGCCGATAATACCAATCCGCTTATCCACGAGCTTGGTGAGCCCGCCGTTCTCATTTCCTCCGGTATATTCGTAATCCCAACGACTCGAGTGAAATGAATGGCCTTGAAATGACTCGATGCCAGCCAATCCAGGAAGCTTGGGTCTATGGAGCGGACCGGCGACAGGAATGACGAACCGTGCTCGAATGCTGTCTTGCCTTGTCGTCTCCACAGACCAGGAGGAGTTAGACGCACTCCACCGCAAGGCGAGCACCTCGGTCTGAAAGAGAGTCCTAGAATAGAGGTCATATTGCTTTCCGATTCTTTGCGAGTGAGCCAGCAACTCTGGCGAATGTGCATATTTCTCTGTTGGCACGTAGTTGGTCTCTTCCAGAAGTGGCATGTAGATGTAAGATTCCACGTCGCACTGGGCACCAGGATATCTGTTCCAGTACCTAGGGGAAAGGCTTTGTTAGGAGTCGCCCTGCTACATCACCCCAGGTCTCCAACAGAAATTCAGACTCACCACGTGCCTCCGAAATCGCCGCCTTTCTCGATGATGCGAAAGTTGTTTATGCCCTGCTCGATTAGCCGCACCGCGACTAATTGGCCTCCGTAGCCTCCGCCGATGATCACAACGTCGCAGTCCAGGTCAACGGGATCGCGAGTGAAGCCCGGTTCGACGTAAGGATCCTCGACGTAGTCCAGAAGTGATCCTTCGACTGGTCGATACTGGTTGAAGCCGCCATTGTCCAGACGCTTATCTCGTTCCGCCAGGTACTTTGATTTGAGAGCATTGGGGTCGAAATCAACCTCCCTAGATAGCCATGACACTGTTTTAGTAGGTTTCGGCGGGTCTAATACCGGCATGGCTTCGATGATCGGAGCCGCCGCCATAGTTGATACGTGCTGGCCCCGTTAGGGATGCGACTGGCTCAGTTCAACTTGGCAACTTGGCAACTTGGCGCCTTTCACCTTCAGGGGTCGCTGTGTACAACCCGACAGAAGTATGGTATAATGTTATCGCAAAAGAAATCAGGAACATCGCACAGCGTAAAGTTAAGCATGATATGACTGATTTACCCCGCTTTCAGGTGCCTGTGGTGCCCATGGCAAGTCAGCTGAGCTGAGTGAGGTGGACTGCACATGTAGATGCCTGGCCTGGCCTGTATCGCAGAAAATGCCGAATATCTGCTATCTGGCTGCCGGTGTATGAAGAGATTCCGAATGTTGGAGTTGCACAGGCTCGAACCCCGACATAGCCCCATTGGATTTGTACTTCGGTACGTATAATAACACGCAGCCCCACGCACGGCAGCTGTAGTTTGATGGCCTTACCTATGAATCTGGGGTTGGTCATGGGTTTGGGTCGGACTGGTGCCTGTGATGTTTGAGCATCTCTTTCAATTTCTTGAAACCCGAGCGGCTCAAGGCCATGAGAGCAACGAGACGCTGGATGTTATGGGCAAGACCAGTTCCCATCTTATACTCGCACGGGTAGTGAGTGGGTGAGGGAGACGGAACTCAAAATGCCAAGCCTTGCCGAGGCTCGGGGTTATATTCTTCCTATCCGGTATCACGTGCAAGAAAGCTTTTGCAATCCCTCGGCCTTCGAATCCCGGATTTACCCCGACATCTGTTCAACCAGCATCAAGTCAACAGGACACGAGGACACCACCGTGCCATCAAAGCACAGGCACTAAGAAAGCGGTATATGTGCGTGCAGTGAAGATTTGTTGGATCCGCCAATAACTAACAGTCCGCAACTCCGACAGTAATCACTTGCCTGGGAGTCGCGGAGAGAGTGAGCGTGGTAAAGGAAACCCGATTTACTGCTTTGCTCCTCTGACTTGTTTGACCAAGTCCTTCAAGCCAAGCACCCAGAAAGAGGATACTTGGCGTCCTCCATTGACGTTTCCTCTATGACTCGGAGAATCTGACCCGCGACCCGGAGGCCATAAGCCGCTTGCCGAACCAGTTCCTAGGAGAAGCCTCGGTATTGCCGAAAAGGGTGGCTGGATTCGATGCCCAGCAAACGGCAACATGGTCTTCCATCCCTTGACATGGTGATGATAGACTCAATTACAACTACACTTGAATAACTTCTTTCCTCAACAATCCCGGTGCTCCAAAACCACACCGAAAAAAAAGATGAGGGCCTACCAGCTAAACGAACTCGCCAAAGGTCCCGATGACCTGAGGATCGTCGAGCTCCCTGACCTCGGCCCTTCCCCCGACAAATATCTGATCAAGATCCACGCTGCCGCCATCAACTTTTTCGATATTCTGCAGATCCAGGGCAAACATCAGGTGAAACCGCCCTTTCCCTGGATTGCGGGTAGCGAGTTTGCGGGCGAGATCATTGCGGTTCCCACTTCGCCACAAAACCAAGATGCAAAGTTCAAAAAGGGTGACCACGTCTTTGGCGCGGGATCGGGGGCTTTTGCGACCATGATTCAGTCTCCCGCCGCCGCCTTGAGGCGGACGCCGAACGGATGGAGCCACATCGAGGCAAGCAGCCTGTTTTACACGGCTCCGACGGCGTACGCAGCGCTTATCCTACGAGCACAGGCAAAGCCAGGTATGTTGGCCCCTTAGTCCCACTTTGTGAATATCTTTACTAGAAGTGCTAACGTCGAACTCACGATAGGTGACTATGTACTGGTTCACGGTGCTGGCGGGGGTGTTGGTCTCGCGGCTGTTACCATCGCCAACGCCCTCGGCATGAAAGTCATTGCGTCGGCTGACACAGAAAAGAAGCGCGAGATTGCCACCCGGTTTGGTGCCTCTTACGTGATCGATTCCAATGGCGATTGGCCTACCGCCGCAAGAAACCTCACGCCTAACAAACGAGGCGTTGATGTCGTCCTCGATCCTCTTGGGGTCATTTCTGATTCGCTCAAATGCATCCGGTGGGATGGGCGACTGTGCATTATCGGGTTTGCCGCTGGACAGATTGAGAAAATCCCGACCAACAGACTGCTCCTCAAGAACGTCAGCCTGTCTGGGTTGTTTTGGGGTGAGTATGCCAACCAGGACCCTCAGAGCGTGGTGGAAGTGTGGGACAAGCTTTTGGAGCTCATCAACAAGGGCGGCATCGTACCCCTGAACTACACGGAGAAGCAGTTCCAGGGTCTCGAGCGGGTTCCAGATGCTATGAAGTTGTTGAGCACAGGGACGGCCTGGGGGAAAATTGTGGTTGGGATAAGCGACGAGGCGAAGGCGAAGGCGAAGCTATAGTCCTGTTCCAATGTGATCAGAGGGCGATGTAAATCAAGGGGAATTGACGTCGGGTCATCGTTCTCGGACGTCCTACTTCAACAAAATCTTTCCTCAATTCATCAAATACAAAGCAGGAAATCGATGGCTGAGACTCAACAAAGACTTACTGCGGAAGTGGCTCGCTCATTGCGTGCAACACCTCATCACCAGTCCATCTCTTCCTGTGCGTTCGTGTATATGTAGCAGAGAAGGGGCCGAGGACGAGAGCGGCATATTTCAAGGAGATATACCAGTCAAGTCGGTCGTATATATGTATTTAGACCTTTCTAGTGGTTTATAGCGAGATGAAATGGCACTTCTGGTGGTGCTGGATGGCAGAGCAATGACGTCAGAGTCAACACTTGACTTTTGTCAGACACGTCATTTGATTTGATTTGTCTGCTTCCAGCATCTCATTCAGACTTCACACCTGGTCGATTCCCTCCCACGCTCCAAATCAACTCGGCAATCTCACATTTCGCTTTTCAGCTTTGCTTGCGTCACTCAATGTCTGAGTCTCCGGACCAGTCAGATGGCGCCAACGGCGACCCCGAAGCTGCGATGCGCGCGATGATGGGCTTCAGCTCGTTTTCCGAGCGCCGGCCCAAACATCAATCCCGTAAGTCAGTTGTGCAGATTGCGCGAGATGGCTTTCTCCTTGTCACTAGTGGTTGCTAGTCTCGCATTTGCTCCCTTGATCTCCAACATGATCGAGGACAAAGTCGCTGTTTCTGACCTCACCCCCTAGACACATCTGCCACGAACGCTCCAGCCGTGGAAACACAGTCAGGAAAGACAGCGCCTGGTGTGCCAGGGTCATCTGATCTCTCGAGGTCTAGCCATCTACAGGGGGTCGAGTTCGAGTCCGGGTCCTCAAAGACGCCTGGACATGAGGAACACCCGTCAACTCTAGACCAGTCAACACCTCTTCCAGCACCACCACTACCACACCAACAACCACAGACGAACTACGCCTTCGTATCTCCGGAAACGGGCATCTCATTCACACCGGAAGAGCTGGAAGAGTTGTCCCGTGGCAAAATCAACGCGCGAGGTGACAGAGTCTTCTTCAAGCCCGCCTTTGTGGCCGACGATCCCTGGTTCCGACTTCGAAGGACGGGGAAGGGGCGGAGACAACTCTGGCAGCAATATGGGGATGGGAATGGGGAAGGGGAACGGTTCTTAGAGAAACTCAGCTCGACTCTAGATTGACAGCGGACTTCATGAGCGAGTATTAGCACAACCAAGATGATCACGTACCACCATGTAGCATTGTTCAAATAAAAGATGGTAACCTTGTTATACAGCTCCGTATCCACCTGGCAGTCGGCTGAATCACATGAATCCGCATCCCCCACTCGTCGCGGACACATGTCGACATATGACTATTTCTTGAGAGACTCTCCCAAGCATGTTCAACATATTCCGAACCACGTACTTTCCGCTCTCTCCGTCTGAGAGACTGGATATTGGACATTATTGGACGAGACAAGTCATAGTCAAGGGACATACTATTATTTCCGATCTTGAAACTCCTTTCGTCATCCAAGCACCATCACCCGTCCCCGAAGCGGGAATCAATTAACCCCAAGAAAAATCCAAATGATTTTCGCGCAGCACCACACCACACCGCAGCGCAGTATAGAATACAGTCTGAAAAATCAAGACGAGCCAAAAAAAAAAAGAGAATAAAAATAGGATTCAAGACTCTCCCCTTGGAAGGGGAAAGTAAAGGAAAGAGGTGATACCTATGGGGAGGGGAATGAAAAGGGGGGACGCAGCCTCGTGAAGCCAGGCCGTGCGGTGGGCGGTGGGCGGTGGAAATGGGTTCGTGGTGCCAGACAGAATCTCTCTCTCATCCCCTGTAAAAAGTCACCTTCGCACCTTCAGGGCCTTCAGTAATATACATACAATTAGTACGCATTACATGGGGTGGAGGACAAGAATTGGACGTACCTCGTATTAGTTAGTACGGGAGACTCGGTAGTGATCAGGTCAGGCTGGGTCGCACGCGAGAGGGCGCATTTTAACCAGAAGTGATTTCCACCATAATAAGGAAAAAAGGTTCTGGACCCCTTTCCCTTTTCCGTTGTCATTGTAAAAAGACTTTTACACACTAAAGCCATTAGTCTGGGCGTGTCTGGCAATCGGTGAATAGATAGCTAGTCATGGCAAATAGTTCCCAGCCTCTTTACAAGGAGGTTGTCCATAACCCAAAAGAAGCGAGAAGACAGGCGAGACCACCACAACCACGTGTCCCTCTACAGGCATTGGACAAAGCTCCGAGATGGCCACTACCACTCCAGGAATCAAGCCGCCTTCTCGGTTCACTCAGGCCTGTTCTCGACCGCTGGTGATGGGTGCCCGGGCCAGCCTCGCGCCCCTAAGCGGCGTTCCCAATCACCTTGGAACGCCTCTCAGCGACGCCAACTGTCCCGTTAGGGGCACTCCACATGCCCCTTGCACCCTCCAGCACGTCCCCAGTCCCTAATAGCTGCCGATGCCCTTAAAACCCCCACCACCAGCCCTGGTGATGGGCTTGCATGCCCCCTAGAAACCCAGTTCGGGTTTCCCTACGACTTCCCTCTAAAGGGACAAATTCGGTGCCAAACTGGCCAGGATTGAAACTTTTTGGT